GGGAACCAACAGTGAAGAGAAAGAAACCAGGGCTCAAACCAACGATTTGGAGCAGAAGGAAGAAATAAACATTCAACCAGAACAGAATGAAGAAACAAGAATTCAAAAAAGTGAGAAGAGGCTTAGCAACCTCTGGGACAACTTTAAACATTCCAACATCCAAATCATAGGGGTGCCAGAAGGAGGAGAGGAAGAACAAGAAATTGAAAACTTATTTGAAAAAATAATGAAGGAGAATTCCCAAATCTGGCAAAGGAAATAGACTTCCAGGAAGCTCAGAGAGTCCCAAAGAAGGTGGACCCAAGGAAGCACACACCAAGGCACATCATAATAACATTACCCAAGATTAAAGATAAGGAGAGAATCTTAAAAGCAGCAAGAGAAAAGGAGACAGTTACCTACAAAAGAGTTCCCATAAGACTTCCAGCTGATTTCTGAAAAGAAAACTTGCAAGTAAGAAGGGGCTGGAAAGAAGTATTCAAAGTCATGAAAGGCAAGGACCTACATCCAAGATGACTCCATCTAGCAAAGCTTTCATTTAGAATAGAAGGGCAGATAAAGTGCTGCCCAGATAAGGTCAAGTTAAAGGAGTTCATCATCACCAAGCCCTTATTATATGAAATGTTAAAGGGACTTATCTGAGAAAAAGAGGATGATCAAAACTATGAACAGTAAAATGACAACAAACTCACAACTATCAACAACTGAACCTAAAAAACCAAACCAAGCAAACAACAAGAACAGGAACAGAATCACAGAAATGGAGATCACATGAGGGGTTATCAGTGGGGAGGAGGAAGGGGGAGAATATAGAAAAAGGTACAAGGAATAAGAAGCAAAAATGGTAGGTACAAAATAGACGGGGAAGTTAAGAATATTATAGGAAATGGAGAAGCCAAAGAACTTATATATATGACCCATGGACATGAACTAAGGGGGGGGGGTGATTGCTGGTGGGAGGAGGGGTACAGGCCTGAGGGGGGATAAAGGTGAGGGGAAAAATGGGACAACTGTAATAGCATAATCGATAAAATATATATATATATATTTTTTAATTTTATTTATTTTTAGAGAGGGAAGGGAGGGAGAAAGAGAAAGAGAGAGAGAAACATCAATGTGCGGTTGCTGGGGGCCATGGCCTGCGACCCAGGCATGTACCCTGACTGGGAATTGAACCTGTGACACTTTGGTTCGCAGCCCATGCTCAATCCACTGAGCTACGCCAGCCAGGGCTAATAAAATATATTTTTTAAAATTAATAAAAAGCAATGAAAATATGTCTTTGGGTGAGGATAAGGAAAAAAGAATGTATATTACTATTTGCTTGTGAATGCATAAAGAAACTCTGGAAGAATACACAGAAATTAGTCACACTGAGTGCAGGGATGGGAAAGATGGTGGGCGGCGGTGAGAATGAGAACTTTCATTATACACAGGGTCCGGCACAAATAACGCCCCTACTTTATTACAAAAATTTTTATTACAAAATCATGAGCATGTAATTTTATAACATTACAATATCACACTCAAGCACACCATATGACATTTTAGGTGAAATGTTCAAATTAAAACTAAATTATCACAACCATATTATTACCCTACCAACCACACTCAAGCAGGTGTTACTTCTGCCAGACCCTGTACATTTTAATATTGAAAACTGTTTTTGCACAGGTGAATGTATTACCCATTCATATGATGAGTTACAAAAATTAAATAGTTCAAGTTAATAAAAGAGAAAGAGAAGAAATGGGAGAAGTGGAAGAGGTGGTGAAGGCAGACCATCTTCTGAGATGTTTTCCTGCAAAGGGAACAGAGAAGGGCGGGTGCTGGAGGGGGACCTGGAGCTAAGAAGGGTTTTTTTAAGCTGTGAGAAACTACAGCGTGCTTAACAGGCTGCTGGGAATCATCAAGGAGAGAGGAGCAATGCGGGAGAGGGAGGGACAGTCCCTGGAGTGAAGACGCTGGTGACTAAAAAGCCCTGGTATTTCCCCCCAGAAGGAGCGGTAGGGAGGGGACACGGTGGTGGAAGTGGGACGTTGTCTTCTATCAGCTTCTATTTTCTCAGAAAAGCAGAAAGCAAGATCATCAGCAGAGAGAGTGACGGGCGTTCAGAAGGACATTGGAGGACAGGAGACAGACAGAAGTCTACCCTGACAAAGACTGGCACCCCTCAGTGAGCCCAGAGATAACGAATGGTAAAGAGACCACAGAGCCAGGCCCAGGGGATTTATGGACTGTGGAGTGTGGGAAGGTCCTCAAATTATCTGAAAACTCACTTATCACTGTATTTCATTGTCTCCCTCACTAGAGTCTAAATCACAAGGGACCATGATGGCTTTGTTCTTGCTCTCCACTGTATCCCCAGGCCCTGTTTAGTTCCCAGCATGTAGTAGGTGTTGAATGAGCGAATGAATAAAAATACTAGAAATAACTGATAATGGCTCAAAGTTCTTAGTGTAAAAGACAGTCTGACAGCAAATGACCCATGCCCGTCACATAATGAGTCCTCTTACCGCACATCCTCAGGATGCACTGGGACCCACTGAGGCCCAGGATTTGGGGTGACTCGTGCACCCTGCCTCACATGGCCCCGTTCACATCCCATGTGCACTGTGTTTCCCACTGGGAGACACCGGGATGGCTCACTCCCTGCTGTTCTGACCTCAGAATGAAGGACGGTCAGGGACAGACAAGCAGGAGGGCAGCCACTGCAGATGCTGGCCAGAACAGCAGGCTTCCTTCCCGGAGGCGGGAGTGCAAGGCTAATGATAGTGATAGTGCAGGGGATGAGGGGCGACTGTCTGGAGGGGCGTGGGTGTGAGTAGGCTCAGCCACAGAAGCATTGTGCACAGATCACAGGGCAGAGGTCAGGGAGTCCAGGGAGACAGAGGAAAGGCAGGTGGAGGGCAGAGGACAGAATGGGTAGGGGTCCCAGGTGAAGTTCACTAAGCAGTGAGTATTGAGCATATATATGCTAAGCCCTGAAGTAGGTTACGGGGGAACAAAACAAATGAGATCTTTGTAGTATATATGGGGTGGGGGGACAGACAATAAACAGTAAACAAGATCATTTCAGAGAGTGAGATGAGTTGGGAGGAAGGAAACATATTGATGAAATAGAGTGGGTGGTTTGGTGAGAAGAAGGAGCCAACCTAGTAAAAGTGAGACTGAAGGGGGCACAAAAGCTTCCAGAAACAGGGAATCAGAAGTGCAGGGGTGCTAAGAGAATGATTTTGGGTGTTCTGGAACATCAAGCCGTCCAATCTGGCAGGAACATTGTTTGAACACTGAGGAGGAATACAAGTTGAAAGGCCTCTCCCAACAAAGAGTTCAGATTTATTCCAAGTACAATGAAAAGGCACTCACATATTTTAAGCAGGAAGGAGCATTCTGAAGATGAGTTTGTAAAGGGCAAGGGCGGGATCGAGGGAACAGCTGGGAAGCTGGTGCACTATTCCAGCCATCGCCTCTCATCTGGAGAGGATGCGAGCAACAGAGTTGGAGAGAAGTGGATGGATTCGGGATATGTTTTGGAGGCAGAGCTCCTGGGACTTGCTCGTGAATTAGACACAGGATGGGAATTAGTAAGGAAAGGGAAAGGGAAGAAGGACGTTTCCTAGGTTTTTAGCCTGAACAAGTGGGATGGGGAATACTGGGAGAGAAATGAATTGGCCAGGAGAGAATTCAAGACATGCATTTCAGCTGCATTAACTTCGCATGGCTATTAGGCATCCAAGTGGAGATGTCAAGAAGGCTGTTGGATAAATGAGTCTGGAGCTCTGCATATAAATTTAGGACTCTCTGACATTTGCACAGTGTTTAAGCCCTGGGACTGGATGACATCACTGGACAGAGAAGGTGGAAAGACGAGAGGGCCAAGGACCAAGTCCTCGGGAGCTCAAACATTTAGAGGTCGAGCAGGAAAAGACTGAGAAGGAAAAGCTAGTGAGGTCGGAAGGAAACGAGGAGAGTATGGCGCCCTAGAAGTGCAACCCAAATAAAACGGGCTGTGACAGAGATGACTGGGGTGGGACGGGGTGAGCGTAGGGGCGGGGGAAGCTATGTTTGATAGTGAGGCTGGCGAAGGCCTCCTAAAAGGTGACATTGGATCTGAGTGAAATATTAATGAAAAGAGTGAGTCATCGGTAAAAGCCAGGGGAAAAGGGTCCAGGCACAGGGAACGTCAAGTGCAAAGACCTCGTGGCCGGTTCAGCTCCTCTGGTTCTAGAAACATAGATCCGGCAGAGCGTAGCTGGGGCATAAGGGTTAGGAAAAGAAATCGGAGAGTTACTTAGGGGCTAGGTCACGTAGGGCCTCGTCAGTCACAGTAAGGAGTCTGGATACCTGAGTGCTAGACAAACTGAGTGATGCGACTTGAACTACTTATTTTAAAGACAGTCGGGTTGCTTTGGAGACAACGCCTCGTAGCAGGGTCAGAGTGGAATGGGGGATCCAGTTACGGGGACAATCCGAGGTTGGTGCGAGGTCTTCGCTGCCGCCCCCACCCTGCTCCCCACTCCTCACTCTCCACCGGGAGTGAGGCAGAGTTGGGGACACAGAGTCTCAGAAACTACCTGAGGTAACCATGGGTGTCCATGGCGTTGGGGTGCCAGGGCGGAGAAGCCCGCCATCCAGACGCGGGGGAATCGGACGGTCGCTCGCCCTCCGCCGCCCTCTCCAACCTTCCACCTGGGACACCGCTGAGCACGCCTCCCGTGGTGCGGCAGCGGGAGGGTTAAACCGTGTGGCCTACCGGCGGGAGGGGGAGAGGCGGAGACCGAGCGCTCGGAGGTGCCGCGCCGAGCCCCGCCGAGCCGAGCGCAGCGCGAGCCGAGCCGAGCCGAGCCGAGCCGAGAGGAGCATCTCCCGCCGCCGCCGCCGCCGCCGCCACCGTCGCCGCCGCCCCGCGCCCCAGGCGCCCGCCCCCCACCCTCTCCAGCACCCCGCTGCCGGCCACCCCCCCGACCATGCCCCGCGCCCCACCTGCTCCCGCGACCCCCCAGCCCCGCTCCTCCCTGAGCGCCCGCAGCTGCCGCGCCGCCGCCGCGCCAGGCTTGCAGGTGAGTGAAAGGGACCCCCACGACCCCACCCGAGGGGGCCCGGCCCTGCCCTTCCGGACTCCGAGTGTTTCGCCTCCGAGTCTTTCGCCCCCGCCTCTCCCCGCGCGGTCCCTCACCCGAGCTCCAGCCTCCAGCCCAGCGGTGCTCCTTCCCTGCCGTGCTCTCCATCCCTCCTTCGCTCCCAGCTCCATCCTGCCCTCCCAGCGCAGTGGTCGCCGTGCCCGCGGCTGCCTCCATCCTGCCTTCGGCTTAGGCTCCGGGCATCCTCCCGCTTCGGGTTCCTGGTCTCTGCTGTGGGTGCTCCCTCCCTCCGAATCCCTTCGCCGACCTCCCGGTCCTCGTTTTCTCCCCCGATCTCCCGGTCCTCTTTCTCTTCCCCGACCTCCTGATCCTCGGCTTCTCCCCCACGCCCGCTGCTGTCCAGCCCTGTGCGGGGAGCACGAGCTCGTGAGACGGGTGGGCTGGGGCCACGCCGGAGATGGGGCCGGGAACCCCCACCCCAAGGTTCCCGCCCCACCCCCCGCTCCTCTCCTGCGCACAACAGGTCCGTGAGGCGCGAGGAGAGGGAGGGGGTGGCGCGCCAGCCTGGGGACTGCGGGCTTCCTGGCAGGGGCAGCTAAAGGGGGTTCGGGTCCGGAGACTGGAGTTGACGTCAGGGGGAAGGGGTGATGCACAAGGCGGAGGGGCAAGGGGGTCCTGGAGTCAGCCGGCCACAGAGGTCCCCGTGAGCCCGTCTCCGCTTCACTGCTTCGCTCCCACACGCCCTCCCTCCAGCTCCGTTCCCTTCGCGTGCCTCTCTCCCTTCTTCCCACCAGGCCCCTATCCCTGTCTCCCCCCGCAGCTCCACATCCCTTCACATCGAGAGAAACAATTCCCAACTCCTCCATCTTTGCTGTTCCAGGCTTCAGTCCCATCCCTTCGTCTCCTCGTGTTGCCCACGGTTTGAGGCTCTCTCCTTTCCCATCCTCTTTCTCCCCGGCCCTGCTCTTCTCCACCCCTTCCTTCCTCCCCCTGCCGCGGTCTCCTCTGCCCTTCCTGCCTGGACCTTTTCCTTCCTCTCCTGCCCTTCCCCCTTCTTCCCCTGCTCCTGTGACCCCCTTCACCCCCTGTTTCCCTCCCCGACCTTTTTAATTCATCCTGTTCTCCCTTCAGCGTCCTCCACGCTTCCAGTCTCCTGTGCCCACCCGTCTTCTGTTCTCTTTCAGGACGCACGACCGCCCCTCGCCCCTCGCCCTGTGCTCTACGCTGGCTTCCTCTTCACCCTTCTCCTCCCTTTTCACTCGCAACCCCACCCTCCCTTTCTGGGCCTTTCACGGACCCTTCACATCTGTCCCCACTGCCCACTTCCCCATTCCCTTCCTCAGACTTTACGATCCTATTCCCGTTATTCTCGGAGAGTACTTAATGTACAGGTTTAGACCCAGAATCCAGAGGACGCAGGGTATCATATCCTCATTCACTCTGGGGAGACTGTCCCCCACCCAGAACCCTCGACCCTGAAAACATGTCCTTCCTCTTTCAAAACTAACCATCCTGATTCTCCCAGGATTCTTTCCCCAGGAGAGCTACATTTAAGGAGGTGGTCTCTCCCCATTTCTGTCTCCCTTCAGAGGGCACCTATGCATTAGGATGATTCAATGTTGAGCAAAAATTAGCCCTGGCTGGTGTGGCTCGCCGGACTGAGTGCTGGCCTATGAACCAAAAGGTCACCAGTTCAATTCCCAGTCAGGGCACATGCCTGGGTTATAGGCCAGGTCCCCAGTTGGGGGCGTGCTATCTCTCACGCACTGATGTTTCTCTCCCTCTCTTTCTCCCTCCCTTTCTCTCTCTCTCTCTAAAAGTAAATAAATAAAATCTTTTTTAAAAAATTGGCAAAAATTATATATTATATTCTCCCACTCACCTCTCTCTTTCTCTGTCTCTCTCCTTCCATCCCTCCATCTCCTCTTCCCCTTCTCCTAAAGATGCAGATCCCTGGGGCCAATCATGAGAGAAATGTCTGGGACTACAAGTGGGGTGGGCAGGCTGGGTGCTTCCACTGCGCACACACCACACACACATTCACAGACTCACTCTCTCAGATTGACTTCCTCTTCCCTCCCCCACTTTCAGATTCCCTCCCTAGCGGTAGGTACACAAGGAATCACAAGGTTCTTTGCTCTAAATTAAGATTCAAGAAAAGCTTGGAGCTGTGGGCAGCGGAAGTGAGAAGGAAGCCTGAGAAGTGAGAGGAGACCCTGGGGTGGGGAGCTAACAGTGACCTGGGGAGTGGTGGAGAGGGGCTGGGGTCTAGACAGGGAGCCACTCTGGGAGTCCCTCCCACCCCCACCCCCACCCCGAGGATGCTCAGCAGCAGTGAATCCTGAGTGGCAGCAGCATAGCTGGCAGCCAGCAGCCTGGGAGGGGAGATGGGGTAGAACTGGTGATGAATGAGCTGGGAAGGTACCCAGGGCAGGGAGGGTGGGGACGTGACAACCCCTTCTCTCTCCCAGTAAAGGCTGGAAATCTGGGTCACAGCTGAGGAAGATCTCGAACATGGAGTCCAGGATGTGGTAAGTTCGGCACAGCAGCGGGAGCTTGGAGGCCACCTTCCCTGAGGCCTTGGCCCTTTCCTCCCTAGGCCCACCAAGGGCCCACCATCCCAAGGGCTAGACACTAGGAAGACAGAAAATGAGGCTGTCTTCCCAAGGCCCACCTGCTTTTGCAGAGAGACCTGGAGAGAGGCAGCCGGGGATCTCTGGTATGAGCCTGTCCTTCCCACACATAGGCCCAAGATGGGCTTCTGTCTCACCCTCTTTTTCTCCCTTTTTGCAGGCCTGCACTGCTGCTGTCCCATCTCCTCCCTCTCTGGCCACTGCTGTTGCTGCCCCTCCCACCACCTGCTCAAGGCTCCTCCTCCCCTCGAACCCCACCAGCCCCAGCACGTCCCCCATGTGCCCGAGGAGGCCCCTCTGCCCCACGCCATGTGTGTGTGTGGGAGCGTGCACCGCCACCAAGCCGATCCCCTCGGGTCCCAAGATCTAGGCGGCAAGTCCTGCCGGGCACGGCTCCCCCGGCTACCCCATCAGGCTTTGAAGAGGGGCCACCCTCATCCCAGTACCCCTGGGCTATTGTGTGGGGCCCTACAGTTTCTCGAGAGGATGGGGGGGACCCCAACTCTGCCAATCCTGGATTTCTGCCCCTGGACTATGGTTTTGCAGCCCCCCATGGGCTGGCTACCCCGCACCCCAATTCAGACTCCATGCGGGGTGATGGAGATGGGATCATCCTTAGAGAGACACCTGCCACCCTGGGGCCATTCATATTCGGGGGCCGTGGGGAAGGTGAGTGGGAGTGGGAGAGGCTGGTAGGGATGTGAGGGTGGGGAGGCTGGTTGAAGACTCAAAGAGCAGCAAGAGAGGCCTTGTCTGTAAGCTCCTTCCACAAATGTTGTGCTGGCGTGGGAGGCAGGGATGAGGATGCCTCTAGCCCCCAAGCTCAGGCCCATGGGCGAAGGCAGATGTGTAAATACTTGGGGATGTCAGTGTAATAAGTGCATTACTAGAGGCATGCACAGCATGTTTTTAAGAAAAATGAGGGGAGAAACTTTTGCCTGGGGCTCAGGACACTTTTCAAGAATTGACATTTGAACTGAACTTGGAAAACAGAGTAGGAGTCCATGCAGAGGGACACCATGGGTGAAAGGAACGCAGGGTGACAGCTCAGCTCCGGGAGTACAGAGACAGGGCCAGTGGTTTGGGGTGATGTCAGGGCAGAGATGGGTGTTTCCACCCCCTGGTTTCCTTACAAAAGCAGGTTCTCTCTGACCTTGTAGCCCCTTCCTCATCACATGTATCCAGGTTTGAGAAAGCGGAGAAGGATTGGGAAGGAAAAGAGCTAAAAATTCTGGGTAAAGCTGATGAGCAGGATAAAGGGGGCGCTCTAGAAAGAGCTGGGCAATATGGATTCACAATGGCAGCCCTCGTCAGGCTTACTGAACCCGCAACCCAGCTCCATTCCCACTGCCTCGTGGCTCCTCCACCTTGAGCCTCCCTGAAACTTTCTTCCCACCCCATCCAGGTGTGGACCCCCAGCTCTATGTCACAATTACCATCTCCATCATCATCGTTCTCGTGGCCACCGGCATCATCTTCAAGTTCTGGTAAGCTGGGGAGAGGACGGTGCTGGCCAATAAGGGCTAAATGTTTGGCTGGACGGAGGAAGGAGCAAGGGCATCAGTTTTGCTGGGGGTGGGATAGGAAGTGGTTGATTAAAGCAAGACCTTGGGGAAAGGTAGTTAAGGATTTGGGTTGGGGCAGACAGTGAGAAACCAGGGCAGATTCCTTCTCCCAGGGAAATAAAAAGACAATGGGAGAGGCGGGGGATTATTTATGTGCACCAGGGGCTTTGGTGGGTATCCCTTGTCCCCATTTCTTCCAGAGAAGGAAGACAGAAAACTGAGCCAGTCTGTAGAGCCCCTCCTTAGGGCTGCCTGGGAAGGGGGGAGCAAATTTGGAGCTTTCTCTGCATGCATTTAATAATGGGTCACTCAGTCCTTCACACTTTACTGAGAGAATCATTAGACAAAAGTGTCCATCCAGGTCATTAGCTGACTCTGAACTAGAACTAAACCTGCCAAGGCACAGGCTGAGGAGAGAAATGGTTCTTCTGGATATGCATGGGGGAGAAGGCAATTCTGGGGAACTCTACCTGTTGGTGGGGAGGAAGGACTGTTCTGTGGATCTGGACCAGGTTGGGAGGATGGTTTAGATTCCACAGCCCCAGGGAGACAGGGTAGGAGAAGTGGTTTTATGAACACATGGTCTTAGAGGCCAGTTTCTCTGCTGTAGGGTGTTAGAGGTGCCTGAGGGAGGCTGGGGGTGACCAGCCCTGCAGGTCCAGGATGGGGGCTTCTTAAATTTATGAAAGAACCTCTTCCCTTATGGTGCACCAGCTGGGACCGCAGCCAGAAGCGGCGCAGGCCCTCAGGACAGCAAGGTGCCCTGAGGCAGGAGGAGAGCCAGCAGCCTCTGACAGACCTGTCCCCAGCCGGGGTCACTGTGCTGGGGGCCTTCGGGGACTCACCCACCCCCACCCCTGACCATGAGGAGCCCAGAGGGGGACCCAGGCCTGGGATGCCCCAGCCCAAGGGGGCTCCAGCCTTCCAGTTGAACCGGTGAGGGCCAGGGCAAAAAGATGGGAGGGTGAGGAGGGGAGGCCCTTTAGGTCTCTGGAACTGTGGTTGGGGTACTCCTTCCCGGGTGGGTGGGAAGGAGGTAGGCCTGGCCCTCCCAGAGCCTGTGGCTTTCCTTCCCAGCCTGGCTCCTGGCCCTCCCAAGGAGCCTGGACCTCTCCTTTCTGGGGAGACCCTTCCTTCTCCCCTCTCTGTGGATCTGTGTCCTGTTCTCATGCTGCCATTTAACTCCAGCTCTGCCCTCTTAACCTTGATTCCCTTTGTCTTGGACTCCCCTCTTGATTCTGGCTTACCCCTTGTTTCCTGACTGTGCCCTTTCCCTCTTCCTCTCAGGATTCCCCTGGTGAATCTGTGATGCCCACCAATGTTGGGGTACCACCAAGCAGGAGGCCGAGGGGCCGGCATAGCCACCGCCCCACTGAGGGTGGGGTGGCTGTGGGAGCTGGGCCGCAGGTGCTCCTGGCCCCTGCCCTTGCCCTCCACCCTGGAACACTCACTGGCCTCACAGTCAGTCCTACCTGCTCACCCTCCTTTAGGTGGGGACCTCCCATATTTGTGGTTTCTGGTCCCCCGTGCCCACCCTTGCACACTCACATGAAAGCCTTGCACACTCACCTCCACCCTCATGGGCCATTGCACACACTGATGCTGTTGTGCAGCCAGTCTTCTGCACCTGCTCCCCATCCACCTTGCTCCTCTGCTGACTCCTCACATTCTTCCTTTTGTTTCACGTTTTTCACGCTCTCCTCTCCCTGCAGTTCACGCTCATCTCAGTCACTCAGTGGTCAGTGGGTGACTTCAGCATTTCCTCTCACATGTCTGTCCTGGCCCCATGTTGTGATGTTGCGGGTCACGCCCTCACTCTATCTCATGAACACCCACTGACCTAGTTTCTGTGGCTCCTGCATGCTGCCCAGAGGTCGGTGGGAGGTGAGCTGGGGGCTCCTCGTTCCCTCATCTGTCATGGTCCCATCCGCTCCGTGTCATGTTTTTCACTGTCCTCATCATCCCACCCTGTGGGTGCTCTCATTACCCTGAGGGCTCCCCCACAAGAAAGGAGGTAGTGAGGCCCCACACTTTTCCCCACCCCACTGCTAAATTCTGTTGTCCGGGAGATGGGTTTTGGGGAGTCACCTGCTGCACTACATGAGAAAGGGGCTCCCATTTGCCCTTCCCTTCCTCCTAAGTCCCTTTTGTCTTATCTGTCCTGGCTGTCTGTATGTGTGTCACTCTCTGGAATTCAAAGCCCCCTGAGCCAGTCTTCCTCTTCCCAGCCTCCCTCAGCGCCTCCTGATTCCACTGAGGTTGGCAGGGACTGGAGGCAGGTGGTTCAAGGCCATTGGGAGCTCTACCTCCCAACCTACCCCTCCCCTTCCTGGGCTCCCTAACATCTCTCCCTCCCCCCCTCTTTTGTTCTTCCACTCACTCCTTTTGCCCCCCACCCCCACCCCAGGTTTGTCCCTACTTCTCATAATTTTTTCCACCTTCCTTCCTTATTCCTCTCTTACCTGGCTCCTATGCTGTGATATATATTTTTGTATTATCTCTTCTTGTGGTGATAATCTTGAATTCTTGTGGGATGTAAGTTTCAAAATTTTCAAATAAAGCCTTTGCAAGATACCCGAGTCCCCTGGTTCTGTCTTATGAGCCCTGTAGAATGGACAGGAGGTGAGGCGACGGGCAGCCAGGAGGGAGAAAGAGAAGGATGAGCAGAGGAGCCCCTCGAGACTCAGTGTGACCTGTGCTGCTCTGACCTGGAGTTGGGTTCAGACACTTTACCTGGGGACTAGATGGAAGGAAGAGAAACTAAGGAAGTGGTCCTGAGCAGGAGCAGCCAGAGCTAGAGGAATGGGAAGAGTGGCTTGCCTGTTACTTGCCAGTGAAGGTCAAGAGAGACCATGTGAAAGGAGACAGAGGAAAAGGGCAAATTCCATAGAAGGACGGGCAGTGGAGCAAGCAAGAAAAGGGAGAAGAGAGAGAGCTGATAAGACAGACAGAGGGTGGAGGGTGAAAGAAGAGAAAAATGGAACAAGCGGAAAGAGGCTGCCTTGCTTGGTTTATTTTCAGCCATGCTCCCTAACCTGCCCCCACCCAGGGTTGCCCCCAAAAGCTGTGCAGCATTGGAAGCTCTGTGGTTAACACTCACTAGCTTTCCCCACTCTGCCTGGTCTGATAGGGTATGGGGGTGGAATCAAGGGGTATGTTTTCAGGGAGGGAACCCAGTCTGCCCAGCTGGGATCAGTCACCTCTGAGCCCTCAATTCTAGGTTTGGCTTTTGTAACAGCCCTGCAAAAGCCCACGGAACACATCAGCCTCTCAGCTGTTGCTAGGCTCTGTTGCCATGGTAACCACCCAGGTCTCATTTCTCCCCCCACCCCCATCTGTGCCCTACTTGCTCCCTGGAAATGGGGAGCTCCAGGGAGGAGAGGGGCCTGGAATGTGTGAAAAGGCTGCCCTGGGCTGTGGACGCCTCCATGTGTTTACCTTTGCGGCTCAAAGTAGGAATGTACATGGGTTGGTAGATGTGTGTTTTTAGGTGTTGGAGCGCTTGGCTGTGTCCTCAGGGAAGTATGGCTGAGTCCACGCAGTGCACAAAGGTGAGTGGGGAGGAGGCGGCTTATTTCTCAGGACCAGAGCAATGTGTACATTCGGGGCATCAGACTCCCTAAGAAAAGACAGACTGCTACAGAAGAAAGAAACAGAGCCAGGCCACGGAGTGATGAACCAAGTAAAAGCAGAGGTACAAGGCAAACAAGCTGCTGAGGAAGGCTCAGAAGCAATCCACCGAAAAGACCCCAGTGGGCAGGTGGTGGACTGGATGGAAGCTGAGGGTGCAGGAAGAGGCGCTGACTGGGGGCGAAGTGGGGGGACAGTGTTGGTGGCAGTGAGGGAGGGATCCAGGAGGATAGGAGAAGAAGCGTCAGTAACCTTTCCCTTCGTTCCCCACAGGAATCTAGTCCTTGTCCTGGGTGGGGGAGGGAAGGGGAAGGAGCTCAAGTGCCTGGAGAGCACACCCCAGCTCTATCACCTTCAGCAGCTGTCTGCAAAGGGACAGTGTGACCCTGCAGCTCATCCATATGCAAAAGGAACACATGAAGGCCCCTAATGAAGAGGGAATTAATTATTGCCTGATTAGACTGCTGTTTCTCTAAATTTAAATAGATTAAAATACACCAGCAGGACACTGGAAATCCTCACCTGTTCCCTCTCCCTAAATGCCCTCTTGTCCATGGAAAGTCAGATGGGAGAGACAGAGGAGAAAGGAGACATTTTAGTCTTCTGAGTTTTCCTAAAAGAATGACCCCAAACTAAATCACATAGTCACACTAACCGGGAAGTATCTTGAGGCCACAGGGAATGGATGCTAACCTTTTTCTCTCTCGGAGCTGAAACTGGAACTGGGGTCTTGGGGGTTCTCGGAAAACTCCAAGGAAGTGGTAGAGCATAGAGTCATTGCAAAGTGATAGACCCAGGACGTATAAACAATGGCCATACTGCTGTCTTGGTTTTTGGAGGCCACATATTACAGACACTACTAGGACCAGAGTCTCTCATCACTATGCATTACACCATCTTTGCCTCCTGAGTTGTGTATCCAGTGACTCAGCCAGGCTTCTCTTAAATGTTTTCCTGGAATGCTTACCACTGTGGCTCAGACCAAACCAGGGAATGGGGAAGCCCCCCGGAGGAGGGATCTCCTGGGCAGAGTTCCGGGTGTGGAAGTGATTCAAGATGGTAATAGTGTGCCAGCTGGAAAGCCCCGGGCTAAAATTAACAGCCCTCCTCCCCCTACACCCCACATTTATCTCTAAAGCTATTCTGTAAGGAGTTCAAGGAACTTAAAACTTGCTTCTTATGGCAAGGGCAGGAGCAGGACACAGCCAGAGACACTGAGGCCCAGAAGTGCCAGTTAATGTAAAGGGAAAAAGCACTAGAGAAGAGCCAGGACTTACAGTGATGACTGCTATTTTGCCCCCACTTTTCTACTTTAGCCCCCAAAGTCAAGGTTTCTTGAATCATGGTTCTTCATCTCATGCAGTAACTGGATCTGGTCACACCTGTTATGTGCCTGTTGTTGCTACTGGGTTAACACAGACTGAGTGCAGAGCCGGGAAATACAATAAAAAGTAGATACTTAAAACAATAAAAAGATACAATGAAGCTCTGGTGGGGGGCAGGTGAAAAGTTTCTGGGTTCAATCCCTAGTCAAGGGGACATACCCAGGTTTTGGGTTTGATCAAGAGGCAACCAATCATGTTTCTCTCTCACTTGGATGTTTCTTTTTCCCTTCCTCTCTTTCTCAAGTCCATAGATATATCTTAGGGTGAGGATTAAAAAAAAAAAGATATGAACAATTACAAGCCAAAGACACATATCTTCTTAAACATGTAAGTCAAATGTTTATTTTTAGGTGCTCTTTGCTGCTTCCTTGCTGTGGCCTTGGGGAAAATCACTTAAATATTCAGTCTTATTTTCATTGTTGTAAAATGGGCATTATAGTTATTTCTACTAGGTTTATTTTGCTCCGTAAACAGGGGGCTGTTCCTGTTGGTAGGAGGGGCTTCAATTCTGCTTCAGTCAAAACAGCTGCTTTGGCCCTATCAGGGTGCAGGGTAGTGGCAGCGTTCATTTACTCAAATAACGTACAGTAGTCCCTCCTCATCTGCTGGGGATAAGTTCTAAGACCCCCAAGGGATGCCTGAAATCTCAGATAGTCTGAATCCTATATACTATATTTTTTCCTACACACACATACCTTTTTACTTAAAGGAAGCATTTCCTGGTTTTTCAATATCTGAGTCGCCAGCATCACTACAGTTGTGCTTTGGGGCCATTATTAAGTAAAATAAGGGTTGCTTGAACACAAGCACTGCAATACCTCCACAGTCAATCTGATAACTGAGATGGCTACTAAGTATCTTGGGCACGGACAGTGTACACTTTGGAGACATTGGACAAAGGGATGAGTCATGTCCTAGGCTCAGCCCTCAGCCGGATGGCTGGAGATTTCATCATTCTGTTAAGAATGGCACATAATTTAAAAGTTATGATGTTTATTTATGGAATTTTCCATTTACTGTTTTTGGACCATGGTTGACCAAGGGTAACAGAAACAGTGGAAAGTGAACCTGTAGATAAGGGGACTGCTGTATAGTTATTTAGCATGTACTATATGCTAAGCAAAAGTGGGAAGGATACTGTGTATGAGATAATTTCTTCCCTGAGGAGCTGACAAGCTTGCTGAGGAGCCACATGTATAAAATAGTTAAAATAGCAACAAAAGGTACAGACTAAATGCTGTGAGAATTAAGACATACGGGGCCATTATGGGTTGGAGCAATCAGGGAAGGCTTCCTGAAAGAGCTCATAAACTCTTTCATTAAGTGTTCATAAACGTTTACTGACCACTAACTAAATTCCAGCTCTGAGGTCAGATACACAATTCAAAGTCCTTGCCCTCATGAAGCTGATATTCTAATGGGAAGAGATGGAAACAGTATGTCAGGTAGTGATGAGTGCCATATTTAAAAGCAAAGGGTGAGGAGACAGAAATGTGGAGGAGGGCAACACTAGCAGAGATCAAAGCAGAGACTAAGGGGTGTGGTGAGGGAAGGGCGGATTTTGATAGCGGCGAGAGGTTATCAGTTACTCTTTGGGCCTAAGTAGGAACCTCAGAAAACTGACACATCCTGTCCTTACCCGCATAGTCAAAGCACTGAGAAATTCTTGAGAGTACAGTATAAGAAAGAAGAACGGCAACTTTCTACATCAGGCTATTCCCCGACAGCGGGAAGGGAAACGGGACCCTACTCTTTTAAAACTCATTCCCCCGCTGGTACCTTGATGCATAATTCATGAACCTGTCGGGATCCCACCCTCCCACTTCTCCAAAAGTCGCTTCCGGAAGCCCGAGGACCGCAGTTCCGAAGATTCAGCTTCTGCCCTTAGCAGAACCCGCCTTCACTTCCGTTGCGGCGTCACATCCACAGAGGGTTCTACCGGGTCCCTGGGCAGAAGCCACTTCCGCCCCTCCTTGGCGTAACTTGCGGCCTGAGTACTCCTGGCGCTAGCGGCGCCGGATATGCTCTACCGCTTCCGGAAGTGACTCGACCTTTGCATTACCCCCCCTTCCCCATTGCCGCCCCCCCTTCCCCACTGCCGCCCCCCCACATTGCCATTTCCCTCCCTCCCCCCTTTTTTCGTTTCCGGCGCTCCCGCCTTCTCTCCGCAGCGGACCAACTTGGAGCGTGTTAGGGGGGGAGGGAGGGAGGGGCCGTGGAGGAATTGGGGTTCTTGGGAGCACTAGCAGCAGCACCACTTCCGGGTGAGTGTTAGGGGAGGGAGGGCGGTAGAAAGGGGGCCACCCACTGCTTAGAGCCCCCGCCCTGCGGGTGTCTCGCACGCATTCTCTGCGTGTGAGAGTGTGGTCTCTGTCGCGCCTAAAGTGCGTGCTCGCGCGCTCCGCGGTGCGCTCCCCCTCCCCTCGGCCCCTGAGGTCCTCCCACCCCAACCAGCTCCCTCCTCTCCCAGCCAACACCGCCCCTCCCGCGCTCTGGCTCTGGCGCCGCCGCAGCCGTCGCCGCTGGGTGAGTCTTGCGCCGCTGCAGCCGGCGCGCCAAGCTCTCTGCTCCTCCCCCCTCCCCTTTTCCCTGGGGGGGGGTTGGGGAAGGGGGTGCTCGACGGTGTGACTGTACGTGTGTCCGTCCCGGAACCGGAAGTGGTTGTGGAGGAGCGGGCGATGGGGAGGAATGGGGGGGCTTAGGGGGCGGGTGTCCGTGTGGTGGGTGGCAGAGTTCAGCTCCCTGGTGGAGGAGGAGGGACGTCCCAAGGAAGGGCCTTTGAGGAAGGGGTGTGGGGGGGTGACATCAAGTGAAGGCTCCCAGGAGCTGTCTCAAGGGAGCAAAGGTTTTGGGGGACAGCTGGGGTCTCCAAAAGATAGACCGCTGTGCAGGCTGAGGGAGGTACTTCTTGGCGCAAGGCCTTGGGTAGGCAGGGGCGAAGTCCTCCCAGAAGTGGGGAGGGGAGACCAGAGGAAGTAGCTGGGCCTGAACTGGCCCTGTGCCTGACACAAGGGTTTGTGCATCCCTCTAGTCCTCAGTTTTGCTCTCAGAGCCAGTCCTCGGGGCCAGGGACCCATCTCCTCCAAGTCTTGTGTTCTCTGATCTCTGGTTACCTGTAGCCCTGGGGAAAGAAGAAGAATCCGTGTCTGAGGGCAAGAGTAGAACCCAAACACTGGTGATAGAGTTCATCTTAGTTTCTGGGACTTAGATTTATTTCCTTTGTAGCTATATTGGGGTGGCACTGCACTCCTGTGATTATAACCGTGCAACTTTGGATTCTTGGTTGGGGGTCCACCTACCTTCCTGACTGCTGACAGTCAAAGAATTCCTCTACAGTTCTCTGGTGTCTGCACCCTTACTGGCCCCTGTAACCCAGACAATTTGTTTACAGAAAGTTCAGGAGCCCTGGAAAGGAGAAAGAATAAAACGACAGGAGGAAGAGAGAGAGAGGGTAAGACAATTTTGGGTTAATGGTTTTTCTTGTTTGGGGGGAGAAGGGGTCATAATAAAATAGGTTTTTGGGGAGACAATGTAACAGAATTCTTCACGTAATAGTGATTGTAATACTGGTGTTTGCTGGGAGAAAAATCAGCCTTTTCCTACTATCTCTTAGGGGTGACTAGGAAGTTTTTGTGCAGAAAGTTGGCTCTGTACCCTGTCACCTTCCATTCCCCCCAGTACTCATCAGGAATGAATTACGAAATGTGCAGGTGAAATCACAAAGTGAGGTTGCATTGTGTCCAAAGCAGAAACTTACATCTAGTTCAGGGACAAGTGGGCCCTAATTGCTAGTATATTTCTGTGGCATAGCTTTTGGAATTGCTTTCCTGTATTTGGAACCAGCAGAGTTGAGTTTAGATCAGGGTGTGTATCCTTGATATTACAGCTTAGTGTTTGGAATGGATCTGTTGAGTGATTGAATCTATGACACAGTTATTTGAATTTAATGTGGCAGGGTGAAGTTTTCAGGAAAAAACTGGGTCATAGGTAGTTTGAAGTAAAGTGGATAAAACTGTATGGAGTAGACTCCATAAGTAGGTCTGGAAGAATGGAAAATATAAGATTTGATGGTGAAAAAATTTTAGGTAGGCTAAAAGTGACAATGTGTTCATCCAAAAAAGTTTTGAATTCAGAGCTTATAATCCTCTAGGTATCTCCTAGGAACCCATTCTTGACTGGTTTATAAAATGTATTCCCCATAAGTTTCTGAGCCAAGTTGATGATTAAATTTTAGGTGCATATCCCCTCTTCTCCAGCCTTCCCGCCCCCCCGCAATGCCTCACATTGCCTAGATCCGTTATTTATTGTGGAACAGGCAGGGCAAGGGAAACTGCTGCGTTGTTCTTCCCACCAGATACAGGGTGTGATGGTCCAGACTGCCATCTGTGTGGTGGTGGTGGTCTTGTTGGTCTCAAACATGTGTGGTGTGATGGTCTGTTCCAATAAAATTGGGATAAACCTGTTTTGAGTTATTTTATACTTGGAAGAGTTTACAGAAAGTAGGAAGGCTCTAAATTCTATTGGGATGGTCCTTCTTTGAATGTCCTTAGTAACTGGGAAAAAAACTTTTGTTACTGAGTAAAAAATGGTCCTCTGTGTTTTGTTTTGTTCCTCAAATCCTTAACTAGTATTGTAATCTTTCTGTAGTTGTGCGTTTTTGGAACAGTTTTGCTCAATAGAGTGTCTGAGATCCATGGGTCAGATTCTTTCTGTAGTTGGATTTGAGTTGATCTTTGTATCTCTCTTTCTTGTAAGTGTTTCTAGTTGGTGATTACTAAGCTGGAGGCTATAGAACTGATACTTTGGGGTAGTTCCTTTGTAATTATGTGGTCTTTATGTAATTTTCACTAATTGTCACTAATAGGCCTCATCACATGGAAGTACTTCCCTTTGTTTCTTTCAGGAGCACTTTGAGCATTTTATTCTTTTCCTGTTTTTTGCTGCCTTCATGCCATCACACTATGCCTCGTGAATTTGTTTTAAGGGGTTTATTTTGCTCCATCGTTTACCCAAATAAAAACTTAATAGAGTTGCAAGTTACTCATTTATCCACTGATGCAGGAGCTAAAATTAGATTCCAGAAATCTTGATTCCTAGGTCCATTCTCCAGCTACTTAATGTGGTTGGTGTATTTCATGATTTTCTAAAGGTTGGCTGTATTAAGAGAATGTTATTTTCCTGAGGAAAAAAAGTTATGTTTCATTTTAAAAAGAACAAAAAATTGTAGTAAGTACTGAGAGAGAGGTGGTGGTCTTCATCACGTATACAAAAACCACATGCTGGGGGCAGTGACATCATTTCTTGATGGCTGGTAGCACTGTGGAAGGATGGACAGAGCTCTAGTGCAAGAGTTCAAGTCCTACTATGTGTTTATGGATGTTATGTAATACTGTCTTTTTTCTTCACCTCCTCAGTGCTTCCAAGACTTCTTTGGAGATTGACAAGGAAATAAAGCTTTGGCTGGTGTGGCTCAGTTGGTTGGAGCATCGTCCCATAGACCAAAAGGTCATGGGTTCGATTCCCGATCAGGGCACATACCTAGGTTGTGGGCTCAATCCCTGGTCAGGGCATCTAGGAGAAAGCAACCAATTCATGTTTCTCTCCCCCCACCCCCTTCAAAAGCAATGGGGAAAAATATCCTTGGGTAAGGATTGAAAAAAGGCAAAAATAAATAAATAAATAAATAAGTAGTTCCCTAAACCTCTTGAAAGAAAAGAACTGCCTAATTTAATTATAGCAAACCTCTGTCCTTATTAACAATTAAGGCACAGTGCAGTGGTAAAGTTGAAATTAGAACCCAGATTTTCAATCTGCCAGTATACTTCTTTCTACTTACTGTGTTTTTCCTTCTTTCTGTTCTTTGGGGCTATAATAGAAACCTCAGTCTGTGTAAACCACTGCTTTTTTAGAGTATTAGCATAATTATCAAAATTGGCACTCTATGTACAGATGAGATCTCCCCATAATATCATTGGGCTTCTCCAGGTTTCAGAATGTTGGTACATGCCTGCTTGGATGTCAGGATGGTTTGGTGAGAATTCCTCCATGAAAGAGAGTTAAGAGGGTAAGTGGTGAAATGGACAGTGAACAGGTATTTGAGTGATCTCGCCCCAGCAGCACCTTGTTAAACTGCTCCAAGGGTGCCATTTGCCTGTATTTCTGGCAAGAGCCTGCCTTCTTGACTCTCCACAGTGGTATAGCATTTCTCAGGTGTCATTTTGCAGGCAAACATTGCTTTTAATTGGCCTAGCAGTACTGTCCATGTACCCCCATTTTGGGGCTGACATATTTGTCAGGAGCCCACAAAACGCACTTATCATTTTGTCTTAGGACCAGCTGTAGTTCTGATCTTCAGCTTTGTTCTCTTAGGAACCAAAGCAGAGTGACAGACTAGGTGTCCATAGAAGTGGAGAGGCCTGTTACTCAGTTTATTCCCTCTGGATAGTCTGGCCTTTTTACTCAGAATCTGTGATTCTAAAATCAATTACCTTGGTGGCCAAGGTTTCACAGGGAGTATTATCTTTAACTACTGTCATCAGAACTTTGGTTTTAAAAACATTGGTGAGAACTACCTGAAAAATGTGTAATCCATTCCTGGAAATATTCTGAATTGTGTGTTGTGAATCAAGCCACAACGTCAGAGAGTATGTACTTCAGTTATATGGCTTTGCTGTCTTGTAGAACCCCTTTCTCTAACTTGTTTTGCTGTTTACTGTTTACCTTCAATTTCCTCATTTAGAAAATGGAATTACAGTACCGAACTTCAGAGAATTGTTGTAGGTATTACATGATGTGATAGTTGTAAAGTGCTTAGAACAGGACCTTGAACACAGTAAGGACATAATGGATGTTGATGGTGGTGGTGATACTGTTCACCACATCACTTTGTGTGCCCCCTTTATAGGAACCTACAGAAACTGCTTTACCTGTGCCACTTGTAGGACAGTGAGAATGGATAACAGTCTTGTGGGGGGAGGAATGGGCCTCGTCATAGGAATCTTGTCTGAGGACATTGTTATTTTCAGGCTCTCATTTCCTCCTTAATTTTCACATCCAGAATGCATTTACTTCCTTTACTCTTCAGGGGGTGTTATCTTCTAGACCCTCCTTTCTTCCACTCTCCAGTACTACATTTCTATCGTATATCACCACTCTTGTCTGTTTCATTTTTCTCAGCTAGAAGGTTGGGCAATGTGGGGTCATGAGTTAAGGTTTGAACTCCTCACAGTGTTTTCAAAATCTGTGTCTGGAGTCCACTGTCATTCATTCAGTTCATTCAATATGGAGTTGCTTACATGGTGATAAGTCCTGTGTTAGAGACTGTGGAGAGATCCAAGATGTGACCTCTGCCTCCCGAAAAGCTTGGCGAGATTGGATCCCCGTAAAGTGCAACCTGGTTGTTTCTCGATTTCTCTTGCCTGGGGAGGACCTGAGGCCCCTAATGCTGGGAGGAAAAGGTTAGCCCCTGTTTTGGAGACTGTCTGGTTTTACTGTAATTTATAACTCAGGGAGCAGAAATTACCTGCAGTTGATCCCCAGTCATTTAATACTGAGCCTCGTTTGTGTGAAGCTGCTGTAGTCACAAATTTGGTTTGTTGCCTCTCTCCTTTGCTACTTTTTATGAAAAAGGTTGAAATTGTTCTGCTTCCCTTTTTAGGGTTTATGAAAATTGAGAGTGCTCATTAAAGGAGAAAAAAAAAATGTGATGAGACTTCCAGAGAAGGATAGGGACAGCGTCATGTTTAGAGAGATATTCTTTCTGCTCAAACGCCTCTGTTGAAGCTCTTTTCTAGTTTCCTTAGTCAGTACTTGAAACCGAGTTTCTGTATTCAGTCTGCCCTCCATCTCTTCGCATCTCTGGTGTCTGCTGCCAGCATATCCTCAGTGGGACCTGTGGCCATAGGTCTCAGGTCCTCCTTCCCCACCCGAATCTTGACTGCTCTCGACTCAGAGCAACAATGTGGTGACCGTGTTTATTTCTTGCTGTTCCGTGTTTCCCCATTCTATCAGTCTCATACTCCCTCTCCACCTGTTTTCTGCTGGGCTGGATCTTTCCTGGTCCAGGATTTTGGGAAGTTGCTGTTGACCAGCATACTACCAATTAAGCCTTTCTAGAAGTAATCAGAATGTAAAAATCAGTGAGTGGTAAGATGCCTTGGTTCGTAATCATTTGTGACTTGCTGTGTGATTCTGAGGGATTAACTTAACTTTTCTTGCTTATTCTTCACTCCCAAAGTTTTAAGTTTAATTGTCATCTGTGTATGGAGAAGAACTCAAGTTCTCAAGTTCAAACTCCCAGAAGCCTGGTGTTTGAGAACTATAAAGCAGGAGTCTAGTAATGTGGATGAGTTCTGGTCCTCTGTTGTCCCTATTCTGAGTCCCTTTAGGTGGGAGTCTGTGGTGCTGTGGCTTCTGCTGGTGCTAGAACTCTTTTTTTTTTTTTTTTAACTGGTAACTCTTAGGTTCTTACTGCTCTGCCCAGCGTGTGTGGTATCTAGTGTAGCACCATAGATGTTCTTTGCCCTTGGGATCAGTGGGATTTGGTCCCCGGATACCATATGGTACCAGAAAATACCTTGATTTTGCCCTGACTGGTGTGGCTCGGTGAGTTGGGTATCCTCTTGCAAACTGAAAGGTTGCTGGTTTGATTCCTGGTCTGGGCACATGCCTGGGTTGCAGGCCAGGTCTCCAGTTTAGGGGGTGTGATAGGCAACCAATTGATGTTTCTCCTGAGCATTGATGTTTCTCTTTCCTCTCTTGCCCTCTCTCTAAAAATAAATAAATAAAGTCTTTAGAAAAAAATCTTGATTTTGATTCCTGCCAATTTCATTCTTTAATGTTCTTAGACATTTCCTATACTGGCCTAGAACCTTTCCAAGCTGCATAGAACTATAGATGTGTCAATTAGAACTCTTGGGGTTTTTTATTTCAAGGAAGGAGGACTTGAAGAATAAAGGAAAAGAGGAACAGTGTTAGGTGCCCTGCTGTTTGAAGCCAGTCAGTAGTGTATTTCGTGGGACTTTGGGCACATCCCTTCCCCTCTCACGACTTTAGTTTCTTTTCTTGTCAGAAAAGGAAAGTAATACCAATTCTGTTTCTTGGGGTATGGAAAGCATTCTGTGGGTAAATGAAATGTGTATATGTTCTTTCAGCAGCCTCTTACCTAGGACTGCCTTTGTTGGATGGGGATATAGTGCTGAGTGGCTCTGATCAGTGGGACTAATATGCTAGATCCTAAGGTCTTTCTTAAAACTTTTATTCGTAAAGATTTTATTTATTTTTAAGCAGGGGGAAGGGACAGAGAGAGAGGAAGAGAAATATCAACATGTGGTTGCCTCTTGCACACCCCTTACTGGGGACCTGGCCCACAGCCCAGGCATGTGCCCTGGCTGGGAATTGACTTGGTGACCCTTTGGTTCGCAGGCTGGCGCTCACTCCACTGAACCACACCAACTAGGGCTAAATTCTAAGGTCTTGACCACTGATTCCCAGCCATGTGGCCAAAGAAGAAATTAGGAACTCCTCAACTCCCCTTCTCCATTGCTAAGGTTCAGATTTATTTCTGAGTGTGACGCGGTCTCTCTTTCTTCAGGTAGAATGGAAGAATCTCACTTCAATTCTAACCCGTACTTCTGGCCTTCTATCCCCACGGTCTCAGGACAGGTATGTGGGGTTTGCTTTTCTGCTCCTCTGCCATGGTATACTTTTGTCAACTCTGTGTAGTAAGTTCTATTACTGTGAAGACTGATGCAAGACAAACTACATGTTTTTTTTCACGAGGTCCCCATCACTCAGAGTTATATAGTGTTTCTGTTTAGCTTCTTTGTGGAAGCACAAAGATATTAACTACTCACTCCTTGATATCCAAGGAGGAGGGCAGACAATGCTAAGTGCTTAGGAACAAAATCAGACTCCCTGAAGAGGCTACTCCCCTCCCCTCCCCCTTCCTTTTAATTATTTATTTTTTAAATTACAGTTAACATATATTAGTTTCAGGTATACATCATAGTGATTAGATATTCATATACTTTAAGAAGTGATCACTACAGTGGGTCTGTAGACCTATCTGGCATCATGCATATTTATGATACTATTGACTATATTCCTTCTGCTATACTTTACATTCCTGTAACTATTTTTATAACTGGCAGTTGTACTTTTTAGTGCCCTTCACCTGTTTTGCTTATCTCCCACCCTTTCCCATTTGGTGACCATCAGTTTGTTCTCTGCCCCTTCCATTTCTTCCAGATTGAAAACACGATGTTCATCAACAAGATGAAGGATCAGCTGTTGCCAGAGAAGGGCTGTGGGCTGGCTCCACCCCACTACCCCACCTTGTTGACAGTGCCTGCCTCAGTGTCCCTGCCCTCGGGCATCAGTATGGACACAGAGTCCAAGTCAGACCAGCTGACCCCACATAGCCAGGCATCCGTTACCCAGAATATCACGGTGGTCCCTGTGGCGTCTACAGGACTAATGACTGCTGGTGAGCAACTCTGCTCTTCTCCAATCTGAGGTGTTGATCTTCCATGATCAGTACCCCAGGCTGGAGGGCTCCAACAACATGGGGAGTGGGAAATGTGTTTGATTACTCAATCAGATTTTTATTAAGTGCCTACTGTGTGCCTAGCAATGCGCTAGGCATTGTGGGGGATACAAAGAAGTAGAAGATGCGGTCCCTGCCTTTGAGGAGGTGACATTCTTTCCTTCTCTGAATCAAGGAGTCTCCTGTTCTCAGAGGTGGAGAAGAGAAGGGAGTCAATCAAGGGGTAAATCTCACTGTTACCAGGGTTGGGGTGGGGACAGGGGTTAGGAGACCATTTTTTTTCCTACAGGGTTTGGGGTGTCCTATATACTCTGGGCTGGGGGGTGGTGGTAAGGGGTTAATTATAGACATTTATTTGGGGAAGTTAAGTAGGATTCAGATCAGGACTGGGCAGCATGACACCATCTCCTTTTTCTTCCAATCCTAGGTCCTGGTTTGGTAATCACATCCCCCTCAGGCTCCCTTGTGACCACAGCCTCATCAGCTCAGACCTTCCCCATTTCGGCTCCCATGATTGTCTCAGCTCTTCCCCCTGGCTCACAAGCCCTGCAGGTGGTCCCTGACCTTTCCAAGAAGGTGTCATCATCCCTAACAGAGGAAGGAGGCGGAGGTGGTGGTGGAGGTGGCAATGTGGCTCCTAAGCCCCCCCGGGGCCGAAAGAAGAAGCGGATGTTGGAATCAGGGCTGCCTGAGATGAATGACCCTTATGTCCTCTCCCCTGAGGATGATGATGACCATCAGAAAGATGGAAAGACCTATAGGTATGAATGATCCTGGGGCAGGATGGGGTGAGGATTCCTGTCTCGGCTTCCCTACCCTCTCTTTGTCTTGCCCCTAATCAGGCTGTATGCTCTGCCAGCTTTCCACCTCAGATCCATGTGCATGTCAGGTGCTCTGTCACGGGGCAGGAAGGTAGAGCTTCTAGCACTTCACTGGTGCCTTTTCCCCCAGGATGCAGACCCATTTCACCCAGAGTCATCAGCACTGACTTATTTTTGAGTGGCATAATGGAGTTCTTTCTTGTAAAGAGGCTTTAGACTGGGTTTGAGACTCTGTCTCCAGCACCTTTTTGTTTTCTGCATTTTCCATTCCTATTTTTCCAAGAAACCTTTCTGGTAAGCGCCTCACCAGTGTGCTGTCCACTGGTTCTTGGGCCATATTTGAGCATTGAGCCTGCCTGGCCGACCCTGCATGGTTGGGATAATGGGAGGGGTCTCTATAAAAAGGTGGGAGGAATAGGATACCTCCCTTATCCTCTTTGGAATATATGCTTCTAAAATGACAGTTTGCTCACTTTGTAATTCATGGAAGTCATTTTGATTCTTTACTGTCTTTAAGTTGTCCATTGCCAAAAAGCATTATAATTGCATGTGGTACTGTACAAAAATAATTACATAAGTAAACTTCCCTGCCCTTTGAACATTGCAAATCTTTTTCATTCCCTTGAGAACTATCAAGGGCCCTCGTGGGTTTGGGGAATTTGGTCCCATTATACAGAGTGGGATAACTACTGTCACAGCTTTGACACAGACAGGGGCAGATGTGCATGGCTGGGAGATTGGGTCTGTCCTTAGTGTACCGAGATGGGCAATGTTGTTCCCATTTTAGGAGCGAAGGGAACTGCGGCACAGGAAATGGACAGAGCCTTGGGCTCATGGATTCAGTTCCCGGCTCCACCACGAACTTGCTGTGTGACCCTGGGCAAGTCCTTTTCCCCTCTCTGGGCCTCAGTTTCCTCATCTGTAAAATGGGGAGAATTCTGTTTCTGCCTCCCATTTGTTGGGGGTACATATCAGATAAGATTTGAAATGTTGGGAACTTCAAAAGAGATAAAAAATAGCCATCACTTAGCATTTATTGTTTGTGTTGTACACTTCTGTAGAGGGCAGCTACAACTATAGAGCATTGAAATCCCTCTTTGTGAAGGGAAAACAAGGGGAGTGTTGCTAAATCCAGAAAGTGTTGAGCACTGCAGAATTCAGTGTTTAGTCCGAAAGCTCATTGCAGCTTTATTATTACAGGTGTACCCCACTCTATACAATAAAAGTGTTCCGGGAAAATGTTTACATCATATCATATTATAAAGGTACCTGACAAATTTGATTCATTTAAAGGCATTCATTTATATGTCATTTCATAAATGAAAATTCCTCTTCAATATATTTTGTAGAAATCTGGATTTTTATGTATTTGCTTAAAGTGAGGTCCTGGTGACATGGGGATACGCCTACACAAACCTTGCTGTGGCGGGAGCAGTGGGAGGCTCTCCGACACCCTGTGGAGCCCTCCACCTGGGTCAGGGCCCTCTGGCTCTGCCGAGGTTTTCTTGTTCGTTAGTGTTTCAGACCCATATTAAAGCTATCTCTGGACTTCCCAAACTGTGAATATGGAAAGAAATAGGAATATACAATTAGAAGGAAGCTCTGATGGGATTTTCCACAACCTCGATGTTTTTGGAATTCTTGATAGGCCCCACGCCTAGGTGACTAAAGAGAACTCTGAAATTTAAGGGGGACTAATTACATTCTAGGTGAATGGAATTTATTCAGAAACTCAGAACTCGGAAGTTCTAATGCAATCTTTTTAATCACAAAGACTCCCTCTTTCAATGCATGTGTGGGTCAACCACATCCATTCCTGTGGCCAATGGTATTTGACTGTATATTGGGGGAATTGGGTTCTGTTGCTCTGGGCAAGTCAACTTATTTCTGACTCTTTGTTCCCCTCTGTAAAATAGGAAGATCAGTTGTGGTCTTCATCTGTCTTGTGGAAATGTTTTGACGGGAAAATCAGAGTATTTGAAATGGTTTTTGAGCATCTTAGGAAAACAATGGGATGATAATTCATTATGGTTATTGTAAGCAAGGTCATTGCACTGCACGCTTCCAAAGGAGCACTGTTCTCATGTTGGATGTGGATGGTGCCCCCTCAAGTTGGGCACCCAGTGATATGGGGTGCCGGCTCTTCTGTTGCCCACTGACTGCTCCCTGCCACAACTTTCCTACATCAGATTCCTTTTCAACCACACAACACTTTGCATGAAAGAACTTACACTCCTTTCTGTGGCTTCATAGGATTTCAGAGTTGGAGAAACTTTAAGGGTCACCTAAGCTGTCTCTTCTCTATAGTTTTAGTCCCCTAAACATTCCTGGAAGATTGCTGTCCAGCCTCTCCTTGAATACCTCTAGTGTGAGGAATCTTAGGCTAGAATCACAGCTTTGTACTGAATAACTGTTTGTCCTTTGGCAAGGTACTTAACCTTTCTGAGCCTTCCTGTTCCTTTCTGTAAAACAGGGATAATACCTGCTAGCTTGTTGTGAGGAGTGGAAACTCTGTGTTTAAGGTTCCCTGGCAATATGAGGCACAACAACAAATGGCAAACTCATTAACATCATTTTTGTACCTAGTACTTCTTGAGACTGCTGGTTTTGTTGCCAGTCCATTATTGATGAATTTAAGTTTTGTAAATTCTTCTCTAGGTGAAAACTTTAATGAAGTTTTCCTCTTTTATAATTAATTTCATATTAAGGTGTGTGTTTGTGTGTTCAGCACTCATACATTAAATGTGATTTTGTTTGTTAAAATGAATGTGTCGTTCCACCTCTGAGAAATTTTAGCAGCCAAGGGAAATTATCTTGTAACTTTAGTGCAGGTCCCCTCCAAGTGACAATGTGTCCAGTTCCTTTTTTCCAGTCCTCAGCAGAGGATATATAGGGTCCGGCACAAATAACACCCCTTTTTTATTACAAAATCTTTTGTTGTAAAATCCTAAGCATCTAATTCGGTAACATAATAATATCATCCTCAAGCACACCACATGGTATTTTAGGTGAAATGTTCAAATTAAAACTATAAATTATTACACCCAAATTATTACTCTACCAACCACATTCAAGCAGGTGTTAACTTCTGCTAGACCCTGTATTTACTGGTTTTAAAGAGGAAGGGAGTTTGGGGTGGGGGAGAGAAACATCGATGTCAGAGAGAAACCTCAATTGGCTGCCTCCCATAAATGCCCCAACAAGGGAAAATCCCGCAACCTCATTAGTTCCCTGACCAGGAATTGAACCTGTGACCTTTTGGTGTACAGCACGATGCTCCAACCAACTAGCCTACCTGGCCAGGGCCAACATGTCCAGTTTCTAACCTCAGTCTTAGTGACCCATCCATGCTGATGCTGTTAACATTAATGCAGTTTTATTATTTGAGAATACTGGCTTACTTTAGACTGTCCTGGATATTTGCTGGCCTTTCTAGGGGCAGATATTTATCTGTCTATTTTATACACCAGAAAATTGAGGTCTGGATTGATGCTCAAGCCTATAACTGAACCCTGAGTAGAGCCCAGGTGTCCAGACTTCCCACTGGCTATGTGTCCTTTGGACTCTGCTACCTGTAAACAGAACTTCCTCCTATACAGTGGTGGGGCATCCCAGACAACAGGCAGCAATTGGTAGACTGGTGATTGCATTTCTTCCAGAGTTATCCAGTAACTAGAGAAATAAAAATGGGTTTTAATGATTAGAATTTTAATAGAGGGACCATACCCCAGCTAACAGTAGTATCTTTTTCTCTGAGGAGCTCAGAGTTCTTTGTAGTCCTGCAGTCAGTTATTCTCTAGAAGTTCTCCTGGGATCAGAAAAAAGTTGAAATCACCCCTCACACAATCCCAAGCCCCTCTTACAGAGATAAGTAGGGAAACTCCAAGAAGAGGTATTTGTCCCAGTTACTGGGCTCCTAGGCTGTTGTCCTTTCTACCAGCTCACACTGTACACTAGTGATTTGTTTAGGAATGCTAGGGTTCCGGCCCACATATAAATACCTTTTACCTGATCAAGTCTGAATAGGTATGGTTTGTCCTGCTCAGGGGCCGTAGTATTGTTGGGCAGTGTTGGAGTGGGAAGACTACCAACTCAGATGATGAGTGAAAGTGTATTCAGATGCTCCTGATGTCAACCCAGGGTGCTGACATTGGCTCCATGTGTGAGGAAAGAGGAAAGTTTTAGCAAGGAAGCCCAGTGTTTTGCAAGTCTTTTTCTCCTAAATATTCGAGAGGCACAACCCACTTTTAACAGATACCTTGGATTATTTGCAGAAACGGCTCTCACATAATTGCTTAGGGGGTAGGGGTGGCTGGAGGACATCAGATACAGGGGGGAGGGCAGACATAATGTGATTTGGAAAAGCCCCTCCAAGGACTGTAATTCTGATACTTCCCCACCCCCATCCCTCTAGGAATCCCTGGCAAAAAGGAAGTAGGAGAAAATCTGAGAGAAGGCAAATATCTGTGGAGACAGGCGAGAAGTCCTTCTGGGTAATCTAGTCAGTTTGTCCTCATTGTCATTTCACAAGTTTGAGGAATACCTGAGTGATGTGCTTCTATGTGGGAAATTGGAGGAAAGAGTTCTTTAAAAGTTTGAAATTAAGTTATAGACAGAAGAAAAACAGAAGTTAGCTGACAATCCTAGCCCAGTGAGGTTCACATTAGCCTAGAGCCTGTAATAAGATTTTCCTGTCTTACCTGGTTGAGTTCTTGTTTTTGTACACCCTTAGGGAGTGCAGTCATTCAGCAACCCTATATTGAGTATTTATGTTGTACTAGGCTGTGTTAGAAGCTTTACCTATAAAAATAAATAAAACAGAGCCTCTTCTCTCATGGGCCTTACAATGTAGTTGGAATAGGAAAGATTAGAGAAGTTGACTTCTTTGGAAGTAGAGGGGAGGGTTCAGCAGTGCCTTCTTGGTGGGAAGGATTTTAACCGCTGCCCTCACTTGGCCTAGGTGCCGGATGTGCTCACTGACATTCTACTCAAAGTCGGAGATGCAGATCCACTCCAAGTCACACACCGAGACCAAGCCCCACAAGTGCCCACATTGTTCCAAGACCTTCGCCAACAGCTCCTACCTGGCCCAGCACATCCGTATCCACTCAGGGGCTAAGCCCTACAGTTGTAACTTCTGTGAGAAATCCTTCCGCCAGCTCTCGCACCTCCAGCAGCACACCCGGTAAGGCTGCTCTTGGTTTTCTCCCACTACCTGGCCGTACTCTCCATGTTTCCTTTCCAATTTTGCCCTTTGGGACCCTCAATTCTCTCCCATTACTCTCTCTAAAAATTAAACTCTGTGTCATAGGAATTTGGGGGGACCTGGAAAATTGTGGTCTTTAATCCCAAAGTCTGGAACAATTTTTGTGGTTTCTTTCTGTGTCTGTGTTTGGAAATCTTCTGCAGAGCAGGCCCTGCTTTTACTATATGCTTCAGTTCAGAGCCAAGGTGTGCATTCAACTTCAGGTCCATGGGGAACAGGCGGTATTGGTCTTTGTTCAAATAACAGTTTGGAAGCAGGGTGTCTGTGGTGAGTGTGTAACCTTAGAGCCAAATGGAGGGTTGTTGAAACTGAAATCTTTAAGGTGACCAGGAGCCAGGGGTTCCAGCTCTTCATCATCTCACTGCCATTTTAGCCACCGACTTAAGATCAGCGACAACCTAAATCTTGGTGTCCTCTTCATTAGCCTCTCCAGGCCGGAGTATGTTTGGGAGGAGGGAGGAGGGGGTATTCTCATCCGTCAAGCAACATCATTTCACCCAGCAGAGAGCTGAGCCCGTGGTGTCGAACTGCTTCCTCCTCCCCCCTTCCCTCCTCTCCTCTCCGGCAGGATCCACTCGAAGATGCACACGGAGACCATCAAGCCCCACAAGTGCCCGCACTGCTCCAAGACCTTCGCCAACACCTCCTACCTGGCTCAGCACCTCCGTATCCACTCGGGGGCCAAGCCCTACAACTGTTCCTACTGCCAGAAGGCCTTCCGCCAGCTCTCCCACCTCCAGCAGCACACACGGTAAGGGAGAGTGGCAGGCTACTGCCCCCGCCCCGCTGGCATGCCCTCCCCACCCCCGCCCCGGACACACACAACAACCCGCATGCGGGGGGCGGGGGAGAAACCTGGCTGGAGGAGAGACCTGGCTGGAGGAGAACACAACTTTCATCTGGGAAAAAGGACAAGTGACAACATGGAGACACAAGTGGATGCTCAGAGAGAGCCTTTCTGGGGCAGAAGCTGCACTGGGGAGATGCAATGACTGTGTGATGTTCCCAGATGCATGGGAGGAAGAGATTGACCTGGAGCAGAGACAACTCTTCTTTCCCTCATTGGCTTCCCTGAAAACACCTAGGCACACATCTTGCAAGATTTTCTCCTTGATGCCAAAGCCAGGGCATTTGAAGATGATACCTCTAGCCCTTAGGGCACCGCTGATGAAGGGGAGATACAGACTTTAGCTGGGTACCAGCCTGCTGACACCTACAGCAACAAGTAAGGCTCCGAGGGATGCCAGGAGTAGAATACAAAACCAGACGTGTCCTAAACCTTAAAGAGCCAGCAAACAATGAAAAAGCTCATTCCTCTTAAGGATGCCCACTGTTTGTCCCATGAATCTGGAGTGACTAGGAGGAAGTGACTCTGCCAACTAGAAGAAGTAATATCTTTCAATGGTATCTCAAGTTGAACTGGAATCCACACTCTTACTAAACACTTGGCTGCTTCTGGATGTGGTGATACTCTTCAAGTGGTCAGACATTGTGCTTTGTGAAGAGGAGGAGTTGGGCTTTCCTCATAAGGAGACATATCCTGTGATGTTTTCAAGATTTTATACCAGAGGTCCAGAAAACCGCCTGGTCTCAAAGATGGTCCTGAAGTTCCTGAAGAGAAGCAGGTGTTCGTACACCCTCAAGCCCTTGGCTCATCTCAGTGGAGGGCCCTGTAGAGTTTGGGAAACAGGTCAAATTGGTACTAAACTAGGCATTTTCTGCCGTTAGGGGGCTGGACTGGGAAAGGTCTGAAGGAGTTTCTACAAGTATTCACGTAGCTGCTATTTTCCATAGTTAGCATAATTCTGTGCTTTGCTTTGACATGAGAGCTTTCTCTGGGAGTGGTGCTCGAGGCAGCGGGGATAGTTTCTGGCTGGTTAGTGGGGGTCAAGGAAGAAGTTTTATGTATTTCTTCTTTTCCTTACTATTGTGTTTACCTTATGTTTCTGAGCATTCATCAGGGATAATTACTGTAGGAGCTTACTTGTATACCTAGTAATGTGACCTGCCTGTCCCTGGGCTGCTGAGCTACCAGTCCCTCCTTCCCCAGCAGGAGGAGTCCATCTTGAACTGAGTGATGCAGGCAGTAAGCATCAGTCAGGCACTACGGCCTGACGATCCATGTCAGAGGAGCTGAGACGTCCTGGAGATCCATGTCACACTCCCACTCCCGTGGGAGGACAGGAGTGGCCTTGAGGAGGCTCATTTAAGAGCCAGTCCCCAAGCGGCCTTGCTGATAGCCTTTCCCTTTCTTGTTTTCTCATCCCATGCAGAATCCACACCGGTGATAGACCATATAAATGTGCACACCCAGGCTGTGAGAAAGCCTTCACACAGCTCTCTAATCTGCAGGTAAATGTTCCTCTTTCCACATGGGGCCTTGACTCCAAGACTTAGGTCAAAGTGCCATTTAACTAGTAAAGCAGTTCTTAAACTTTTTCAGGACCCCTTCACACTTTTAATAAAAGTTATTGGGGAACCCAAAATGCTTTTGTTGATGTGTGTAATGTTTATCTATATAGATATTGTAAACTATTGTTTAAAAAACAACAAACCTATTGTATGTTAACACAAATAACATATTCCCCACCCTGGCCAGTGTGACTTAGTGGATTGAGTGCAGGGCTGTGAACCAAAGGATCACCGGTTTGATTCCCAGTCAGGGCACATGCCTGGGTTGCCAGCCAGGTCCCTAGTAGAGGGTGTGTGAGAGGCAACTGCACATTGTTGTTTCTCTCCCTCTCTTTCTCCTTTTCCCCTCTCTCTAAAAATGAATAAGTAACTTTTTTTAAATATTCCAAAAACGCATACCCACCAAAAAATTTAGTGAGAACGATGGCATTATTTTACATTTTTCCACACTTCTTTAAATTATGGCTTACCAGAAGATGGCTAGATCTTGTGTCCACTGTGTTCAATCTCAATTGCAATATTATGCATCATTTAATTTCTGTACAGTCATGAGAGAATGAGAGTGAAAAGGCAGTCATTGTCTCACTACTATTTTGGAAATAGTTCTGACCTTGTGGACCGCTTGAAAAGGTCTTGGTATTCCCTGGTTATCCCCGTGTCTCACTTAGCGAACCACTGGATGAGTGAGACAAGCACAGCCACCATTCTTTCAGAATCCTGGTCTGTGCCGCATGAGGTATTCTTCTTCCCTTAGCCCATGGTTCCTGAAGTTTCATTTGAAGCAATTTTTACTGCCTTTAGATGGAAAGAGAACCTGGGAGACCTAACACCTGTTTAGGGCTTTCCATTAAGGAGGCAGGAGGGAAAAGTCCAGTACACTCATCCTTATTTTTACCAATTTTATCAGTCCCACAGACGGCAGCACAACAAAGATAAACCGTTCAAGTGCCACAACTGTCATCGGGCTTACACAGACGCAGCCTCACTAGAGGTGCACCTATCTACGCATACGGTGAAGCATGCCAAGGTGTACACCTGCACTATCTGTAGTCGGGCATATACGTCGGTGAGTGCTCGGTGTCTTCTCTTTCTTCTTAGGCCCATAAGACTACAATCCGCTTTACCCCATCTTTCTGGATAACAGTCTGTCCAGTGAATCTGCTGCCTCCCTCACTTCAACTTAGGTGTCAAGAAGAACAGACTCTAAATAGACCCATAGCTGAGGAATTTAGGGGATGTCTGATCCCTTAATCCTATAGAGATTGCTAAACAATGCTTCCTCATTTTACTCGAACATAAGGCAAAATAAAGCAACCTGAGAATTTGGGTAAAGAAAGATTTCAGTTAGATGTTTTCCATTAGACTCTAGAAAAAGGTGGTAAAGTTGTTCCATTCAAAGATCTTACAGAAAATGACAGCTTTTCCTGTGCTATCAAATGCCCATGGTGACTCTAAAGGTCCCCCTTCTCCCTAGCCAGGAGTGAGCCCTGAAAGTGGCACAGAGCGAACCTGCCGATGCCTTCAGGACATTTCTGTAAAAGTATTGTTCTATTTAAAGCAAAGTAAGAGCCCAGGATGCTAGTTACAAGTATCTTCTTTCCTTCTCTTTCCTCCCTCAACTCCTTTTCTCTATCTCCCTCAGGAAACGTACCTTATGAAACATATGCGCAAACACAACCCTCCTGATCTCCAGCAACAAGTACAGGCAGCAGCGGCAGCGGCAGCAGTGGCCCAGGCCCAGGCTCAAGCTCAGGCTCAAGCCCAAGCCCAGGCCCAGGCCCAGGCCCAAGCCCAAGCCCAAGCCCAAGCGCAGGCTTCCCAGGCATCACAGCAGCAGCAGCAGCAGCAGCAGCAGCCACAGCCACCACACTTCCAGTCCCCTGGGGCAGCCCCCCAGGGTGGGGGTGGTGGGGACAGCAACCCCAACCCTCCACCCCAGTGTTCCTTTGACCTGACCCCCTATAAGACGGCCGAGCATCATAAGGACATCTGCCTCACTGTCACCACCAGCACCATCCAGGTGGAACACCTGGCTAGCTCCTAGAGACCTGTGCTGCCACCCACTGGGAAGAGGGGAAGGAAGTTCTGGTCCCTTCTTTCTCCAACTCCTCTTGGTGGGAAAAAGTCCTCTTCTTCCTTGACATGCCTTGGCTCCATCTCCTTGGACCTCAGGCACGGACTTCCTCCACAGGATACCATCCTTATTTTCAACTCCTCTTCAAAAAAGAACATCAGCCCTTCTGATTGGCAGAGGAATACTGAGCTGGTAGTGTAATCCAGCAGCCTCCCCTCCTAAGCATAGCTTTTAAAAATTGGGAGTTGGTGCTCAAGGGAGGGATTTGCTATGACCTCATAGAAACTTTTCCATTGTGGGCACTTATTCCCTCCTTACCCTCATAATCCTCGAAGTTCAGGCTGGTAGAAGACTAGAGGCTGGCCCTCCCAGACACCAGAGAGATGGGAGTCCTAAATGCAACCAGCCTCCTGTTCTGATCTTACCTGTGAAAGAACAAGAGGTTTCTCATGTGCCCTGACCCCTGGGAGTCTTTTTCTTCCCCTCATGGTCTCACTTCAGTTCTTACTAATGCTGGAGGAAGGGGATCTGGATGGGGGGGTGGGGTGGTCAGACTCCCTTTATTTGTAAAGGGGCATGGGCTGAGATGTGGTCCCCAAGGGGCCGGCAATCCCCAAAATGGTTGAGGGGTGGCTTAGAAGTGTGGGTTATGGTTTTCCTTGGAGCCCCTCCCATTCTCTGCTAACCAAAATCCTGTACTCTCAGTCTCCCCATCCCAAAACGTAAGGAGGTATGAGAGCTTTGTGTTCTTGATGAAATCCTGTAACAGTGGGGTTTTGCAGAGAAGGGAGGGTTCAAGGCAAACACAAGGACTGGAGTTAGCTCCCTAGGTGCCACGGCCAGTTGCCGGATATGGATTTATATATAAATATATATATATATAAATATATATATACCCACTCATCACGGCCATCTTTGTTGTAACCATTTCTGTGTTTATAAATGCATTATATCTCAGAATTTTCATATTGATGTTTTGTTTATTTTTGTCTTCTTTTTTCCCACCCTGTCTTCTGGCCAGTGACATTATTTTCTTTTGTCTTTTTTTTTTTTTTTAAATCATGACAGATTTTAGAGAAAAGAGAAAATGAAAAAAAATCAGGAAATCAGTTGTTATAAAGCAATTTAAAATGAAGAAAAAACTTATGTACAAACCAAGGGGTGTTTTTAGAACCTTGTATAGAAATAAATTCATGTAAAAGGATCAGAGGCAGTGGAGCTGCTGATGTGAGCGTGGGAAAAGCTATTTGGAGAGCTGTTCAAGGCGAGTACTAAGGATTTACACTAGAGTTTGTATATGTGAAGAGTGAATGTTGTGTGATGAGATTCCGTGTTTGTCCCCAGCCATAGAAGGGTACAGCTTTGATATTTCTGAAGTGGAATCTTGGTTGATAAGGATTTCTACATGCAAATCTTGCATGGGGACTGCATTGCCTAAATATGTGGAACAACGTTCCAGCCATGTTAAAACCACTAAGCTTCTTATCAAAGAATTGCAAGCATGGCCTCTTGAAGACCTATGCTCTTGCCTGAGCGTCAGTGGGCTCAGTGCTAATTCCAGCTGGCATGTGTGTACATACATGTATCTTCATTATACTGTAGCACCTAAAACAGGTTTCCCGTGGTGGAAACCATAACCAGGATTGAATAACATTGCAGGACAGTTGTGCAGAGGAATAGAAGGCGGTCAGAAAACCTGGACATCAGCCCTGGCTCTACTATCAAACAGTGTTGGCTGAGATGCATCTTCAGGTATTAAATGAAGGGGTTGGGCTAGATCACCTCCAAGATTCCTTTTTGAGAATTAAAAAAAAAACCTTTAAGCACTGAAAAAGTTACAACAAAGCTCCCACATCTGATAACATGTCTGTCCTCTGGGACTGCTGGGCCCAGTGCTCATCACCCAGGGGAGTGAGGATAGTCAACAAAATAATGCCACTATGTGAGCATTATCCAAGAATCTCCATCTGTGGTGGCACTAATGGAGCACCACATGACCAAATATGCTGGTGTTTGTTAGCTTCCCGAATGTTTAGTGCATTTTCCCCCCTGCGCTCACCATCAATCTAAAAGGTGCCGACAGCCCTACCTTCACAGGTATTAAAACCAGAATCATTTTTTTTTAATATTTAAAAAAATATTTAAATATTTTTATTTTTAGAGGGTGGGAGAGAAGTATAGACGGGCTGCTTATCCGTGGGGACCTGGCCCACAACCCTAGCATGTGACCTGACCAGAAATTGATCCTGCCACCTTTTGGCTTGCAGGAGATTGCTCAACCCACTGAGCCACACCAGTCAGGGCTATTTTTTTTTTAATGGTATGCTCAATTCGCTCAGCAACAACCCTGTGAGGTAGGTACTGTTCTCATTTTATAGGAAATAGGCACAGAGCTTAAATTACTTACCAAGGGACGTGCACTTCAGAGTGAAGCTTAGGTTCTATTATCTTACTGCTTGCTCAGTAAACTCATTGTATTTCACATATTTGTTCTAAATTATGTGTTTGAAAACCATGTACCATTGATAATTATCAAGAATGTGTGTTAGTAGTGACAGTGCTCTCCAAAATACTGCCTTACACCACGGTTAGGTTATGAGCTTTGTGTTGTTTTACCAGTGTGGTGGCAGTCTGTCATGCACTCGGTGGCATCCATCCTGGTGAAAACTGTCGTTTTTATGGTACTGTAGCTGAGGAGGGTGACAGTGGGCACCTAACTGGCAGAGTTGTGGCAACTCCAGTTACGCGCCCCTCCTTTCAGAATCCTGGTGCTAGTTCACATCATATATAAACTCTAATAAAAAGGGAGACAAAAATACAAGGGGAAGGACAGAAGTACTATGTCATTTTATGCAAGAATGTATTGAATGTAAAAGGATAATGCTTGACAAAAGGTGTGTAGAATTATACTTACCGTGACGATTATAGATTTATTTGTATTTATAAGCAAAGATGACAAGCAATCTACTATTTCCATGTTAAAAAAATAATCCTCGGGAGTTGGTGTTCGTGTGAGTGAACAGAAATGCCGATGGTTTAAATCTCACAACATTCAGTTTGCCTCCCCAACTTCCTTAAGAAACTAGCTACCTTAGAGAAAGTCTTAATTCAGCGGGGATCAACTCTAGACATATTTATATTCTGCAAAAGAAAGATTTCCCAGTTGCTGAAAAGGGGTATTTATGGAATACAATCCAAGAGTCAAGTTTTGTCAGGGATTTTTACCTCATTACCGCACATCCCCGTTTTGGAGGGAAAAAAAGTTTGATAGAGAATGCAAAATGGCGACCTCCACTGACGTCATGACTGCCGTGGTGGATCGCGTATGGGGTTCAGTAAGGGCGGAAGTGGACTCAACCCGCTTCAAGGCATCTCTACGGGCAGTGGTGGACACTTCCGCAAAAGGATAAGGGTCAACATCATCAGCGGATGTGTCCCGGCGAATAATTTACTAAGGGCGGAAGTTCTCATTTTAAGGGCAGAAAAGCCGTAACCCAAGAATAATAGCTTCAGCGTCTGTTGCGTTTCAGTCACTTCCGGGGCGGATCGGAAGTTGCTTTGTTTTGCTTCAAGATGGCTGCGGGGATGTATTTGGAACATTATCTGGACAGTAAGAGCAGGCTGGAGGAGGGGGTCAGGGGTCACAGAATGGTGGTGGTGGGGGGGTCGAGGCAGAAGAGATCTATGGCTCCGAAGTCCCGGTGGTTGGAAGATTACAGTTTTGAAGGGGTTCCGGGAAAGATAATATTGGAGGGTATGAAGAAAGAGGGGGCGGGGCAGCAGGATGAAGCCTCGCTTTCAGGGGTAGATGAGGGAGGGGCTGCGTGGAGGGACTCAGGGATGTTACTTGAAGGGCTTGACGGGCATCCCTGGGAAGATATTTGCTGTCCCCATCTTTAGGATCTCCATCTTTACTATGTATATTATATATATATTAAACTATATGTAATTAATATGTAATATGATATTTGTAATTTCCCCCCTCAAAATCATTCCGAATTGGTCATTTTAGTATATCACTCACTGCCATTTGGAGTAGCGACAGAGATCTCGCAGCTTCTCTACTTATTCTTTCTCAAAAGCGTTTTCTCGTAACGATGGGGGCTTTTAAATAACCACTGTGAAATCATGACTTGGAATGCTTCTCTTTTTTGCAGTAATGATCCAGTTCCCTTCAGATGGAAATCTGGTGTTTTGTTTACGCCACTTTACATAACCCAGCCCTTCACAAAGCCTGTCATCCTATGTGCTTCCATTTGTCTTAGTGTTGGGAGTCATTCATTCATTCACTCATTCATTTATTGAGGGTCTGCTATGCATCAGACATAATGGCAGATAATGAGGATATAAAAACAAAAAATGAACAAGACATAGCCCTTGGCCTCAAGTGCTCAGTCTAGTAGGAAACAGATTCTGCTAATAAATATAAAACAGTGTGACAAGTGAAATATTAAAAATAGTTTAAAAGGACATTTAGTAACACTGGAGATACAGAAGCTCATTATCTGGGGATGTAGGTAAAGCTTTACAGAGGATGTGATGTTTGAATAGAGCTTTGAAGGTTGAGTGTTTGCCAGTGTGGAAAGAGGGAATTGCAGGTTGGGAAAGGTATGAGCAAAGTATTATGATGGGTTCGGGGCAACCTCAGGGGAAAGTAAGGTCGAGGTGTTTGATGTATAGGACTCTTAAAGTGGAAGAATGGGAGGGAGTGAGAGTGGAGAAAGAGGCTGGAGCTAGATAGTGCAAGGTCTTCTTTAAATTTTATTTTATTAGAGATTTCTGACTTTTCTTTAAAAAAAAAGATTTTATGTATTTATTTTTGAAGAGAGGCAAAGGGAGGGAGAAAGAAAGGGAAAGAGACATTGATCAGTTGTCTCTCACATACCCCCAACTAGGGACCTGGCCCACAACCCAGGAATGTGCCTTGACCAGTGATCAAACTGGTAACCTCTCAATTTGCAGGCTGATGCTCAATCCACTGAGCTACATCAGCCAGGGCAGTGCAAGGCCTTTAAAAGCCAAGCATTTTAGTGAGGAACCAACAGATTTTTTAAATAGAATGATTTTTATAAAGGAAAATGACCGATGTGTGATAAATTGGAGCATGATAACCTTTGTAATAGATGAATTAGTGGTAATAGTCCAACTCAATAATGAGGATCTTATCTCAGGGAGTGACAAGTTTTGGGGAGTTAAATATGACCGACTGACCAAGTGGTTGAGACAGAAGAAAGGGTCTAAGGTGATTTCTTGATTCCCTGCTTGGGAAGTGAGGTAGACAATATGTCATCAACAAGATAAGAAATTCAGAGTAACAGAAATATATTTAATTCAACTTAGACTTAAGCATAGAAATGGTAATTGTGCCCTGGCTGGTGTGGCTCAGTGGACTGAGCACAGGCCTGTGAATCAAGGGGTCACTGGTTCTGTTCCTGGTCAGGGCACATGCTTGGGTTGTGGGCCAGGTCCCCAGTGGGGGGTGCGCAAGAGGGAGCCACACATTGATATTTCTCTCCCTCTCTTTTTCCTTCCCTTCTCCTCTCTCTAAAAATAAATAAAACCTTAAAAAAAAAAGAAGTGGTAATTGTATCCATGAGAATGAATGAGATCTCATGGAGAAAATGAGAAGGTTAAAGAGTAATCTCAAGAAAACATTCATGTTGAAGGGACAGACTATGGAAATGTTAGTGTAGGAACTACCAGTAAGTATATGATGAGATTCAGAATCCAAAGGGAAGAAAGTTACTCAAAGGAGAGAAGAGGTCTCCAACTGGACAGTAAGACTTATATTTTAGGATAGGACTGATAAGACCATTTTGCTTTGATAAGTCATTTGGTGACAAAGTGATCGGAGTAAACTGGTGGTAGCAGGTCTGAGGTTATAAGTTAAAGCAGTGGAGGCGTTTTAAAATTTGAAGTGTCATGCAGAGAAGGTTTTTTTTTAATGGCAGAGATTTAAGTATTCATGCATTTGTTCAAGTATTTATTGAAGACCCTCGTATGCAAATCACAGTTTTGAACACTAGAGAAATAGAAGAGGACAGGCATGCCCAGCCCTTCTGGAAGGCTGGGGAGACATACCAAAAATACTGTTACTAATTACACAATTATTTAATTATAGTTGGATAAGTGCAAAGAAGGGTAGAGATAGAATAACTTGACAGCAAACTCCAGGGCACTTATTGGAGTCTAGAGAAGTCAGGGTTGAGCTGAACTTGGAAGAATAAACTGGAATTGAATAGGCCAGGAGGTATGGCAGAGGTGGGATGAGGAAGATCAGGTGGTGCATTCTGGGCACGGAGAGCAGCATGTGGAATGCCAAGTAGCAGGAAGATTGCTGTCAAGTTCCAGATGCTCAGAGAAGGCCAGTGTAGTCAGAGCAGACAGAGCACAAAGGGAGACTGACATGCGTTAAGGCTGGTATGAGGTAAGCAAGGGCCAGAAAGTGCAGAACAAGAGGAGAAATAGTGCTGTAAGAAGTTACTGGAGGGTGATAAGCAGGGTAGTGAACAGATTTGCATTTTTATTTGCATTTTTTATTTTAAAGTCCTCACCTGACGATTATATTATTGATTTTAGGGGGAGAGAAAGAAACATCGATGTGAGAGAGAAACATCGAGCAGTTGTCTCCGTACGCACCCTAACTGAGGGTCAGACCTGCAACCTAGCTATGTGCCCTGACTGGGGATCAGACCCGCGACCTTTTTTGCATATTGGACAATGCTCTAACCAACGGAGCCACCCAACCAGGGCCAGATTTGCATTTTTTAAAAAACATTCTGGCTACTGTATGGAGCGCAGATTGGAAGTTTGTATGTGATGAGTGGTGGAGGATACCAGGAGGATATTTGTAAGTTGAGAGCAAGGGACTTAGAGGCAGAGATTGACTATAAGGGAAAGGGAAGGGCTGATTTGTAAAGTTTCCAAAGGGGGAAAGGTGGGAAAGCTGTGCAGAGATAAAGAGGTTGGTTGTGAAGAGAAGCAGACACTGGCACTTCTGAGGAAAGAATGATGATTGCTGTTCCAGAGGCGTCCAGTGGTTCAAAGGAGGGAAATCTGAGTCTTATTTTGGACCTGCACTTGAAAAGCAGCTATAAGACCTATGAAGGCCAGTGAGTCTCAGTTACTCCTCTTCTCCCTAGGTATTGAAAACCTCCCCTTTGAACTGCAGAGAAACTTTCAGCTCATGAGGGACCTGGACCAAAGAACAGAGGGTATGTACAGAATAAGCGGTCCCATGTGTATATCGGGTGTATGTGGTCATTTCTTTTTCTGTTCGGCATTACCATATCATCCGGTCTGATCTGGAGAACTTTGGCTTCTTTCTCTTTTTTACTCTCTTGCATTTTTTGAAAGGAAAATAGTGATGATCTGCATTTCACTATTATCTTTCCATAACAAATGGAGTATTGCAACAGTACCTCAAGAATTCAGAGATGCTATGTCCTGTATATCTTCCTCAAGAACAATTCAACGAACCAAAGTCAGCACCAGAGTCATGTCCGTTCTCCATGTTCAATATATTTATAGGAAGGCTAGCATCCTTCTACTCCACTGGATTGTTAACGTTACTGTCACAAAATTCAACACAGCTTTAGACTGCACCTCACGCTGGTAGACAGGAACTCTGCTGTATGAAAAGTTCTTAGAAAGGGAAAAAAAAGAAGGAAAAGCAGCAATTAACATCAGGAACTCTACACTGTATTCTTCAGCCTTACAGCAGCACTAGATACCATCTGTGGCCTTCCTTGGAAGTTGAACAAGTGTGGCTGCATTGAGACATTCACTTGGAGCCTGAGGCTGCACTGCAATGGTCAGGTTGGTCCCTTCAAAGTCAGAGGTGTCTGTTGGAGCTATCCCCCAAACCTGCTGAAGGACATGTAGGTCTTACCTTCCATCCTTGTGAAACCATGCTTAAGACTCTAATAAGCTGGTAATAGAATACCTAAAATTGTGATTTAAGTTACTCTGGATAAGTTTACTCTTGAAAAGGAGATCATCTAAAACCCTGGATGTAGGCCCTTGAGAACTGTCTGCTGAATTCTGAGGACCAGCTTGCTTTCTTTGTAATACAGTTCCAACTCTTGAGTTTAAGCACAGAAAGGCCAGTTGGAAATTACCAAACTACCTGCTTTTCCAGCTTCCTTTAAGGGCCTTGAAGAAGTGGAGCATAAGCATAGTATGCGCACAGTCCATCCTGTCACCTGTCACTGCACTGTGTTACAGTCATGCTTCTGTCTCTTTCTGTCAATGTATTTTATGATCCCTACCAACTACTAGGCAGTAGACATCTGTAGTCTGAGTGTCTTGGGACATTGCCAGCCTTCCAATATTAAAATGTTTGGAGCACTATATAAGATATCAAACAAAAAAGTGCTGGAAGTTACCAGCAAATTGCAGATGATGAGCAAAATAGAGTGGGCAGTAAGTTGAAGACTTATTTGTCTCATTTTAAATGATGAGTTATAGATGCAGAGCCAGCAGCAGTGAATGACCCAGCCTTGTTTACAGCACTCAGAGCTGCTGTGGGGTATTTTTTGCCACAAGAAACCAGGTGGCTTTTGAGACAAAATTCATCATTCAAGAAGCAGCAGCAAGCCCTGCAAAGAAGCGTCTTTAGACAACACAAAATCATACTTTGTATTAGTGCAATGTGCAAAAGATCTATCATGTTTCAATCATTTAAGTTGCAACTCTGATAGCAATGTTTTCAGCACCTGAAGGAAACTTTAAAACAAATACTATCATATTACTTAAGTACATGGCACAATGAACATGCAGTACGTATTAGTTCAGAGGTTATCATGGTCAATGGAAAAGGTCCAAGCAACAAGAGGAAGAAACGTGTATCACCTAGCCACTCAGGGGCCATTGTGACCAGGCCTCTCTCTGTTGTAGACCTGAAGGCTGAAATTGACAAGTTGGCCACTGAGTATATGAGTAGCGCCCGCAACCTGAGCTCCGAGGAAAAATTGGCCCTTCTCAAACAGATCCAGGAAGCCTATGGCAAGTGCAAGGAATTTGGTGATGACAAGGTGCAGCTTGCCATGCAGACCTATGAGATGGTATGGCCCTGTTCATGGCTCCCCACCTACCTCCCATCTATTCCTCAGGGTCCTCGACCCCTCCTTCAGCTGTGTTGGGATCTGTTTTGGGTCTGGGAGAGCTATAGAATCTTACTTAACCAGTCTTCGTTTACTGGCGCTAACCTTGCACCTCTTCCTTTTCCTTCCTTTCCACCCAGGTGGACAAACACATTCGGCGGCTGGACACAGACCTGGCCCGTTTTGAGGCTGATTTGAAGGAGAAACAAATTGAGTCAAGTGACTATGACAGCTCTTCCAGCAAAGGCAAAAAGAGTGAGGAGGAGGGTGGGCTGTGAGAAGCGGGTCAAGGAATCGGGGAGAAGAAGCCGGCTCTTCAGCTGTGAGGGAGGGGCACCAGGTTGGAAAGAGGGGGAAGGAGGAGGACTTAACCTGTCTTTCTCCCTGCCTTTTGGCTTTCCCCCTCTTTCCTAGAAGGCCGGACTCAGAAGGAGAAAAAAGCTGCCCGTGCTCGCTCCAAAGGGAAAAACTCAGATGAAGAAGCCCCCAAGGCTGCTCAGAAGAAGTTAAAACTTGTGCGCACGTGAGTGTTTCGGGGAGCACTTGGCCAGGTGACACCCTCTTCTCTTCCATGGCCCCATGCCCACTCTGCACTGCCCCTTGCCACTTTCTCTGTCTTCTGTGCCATATTTCCTCTCCTTACCATTTTGGTACCTGCTGGACAGAGAAGCGAAGCCCCAAATCATTTGCCCCACCAAGATCTTCAGCCACCTCCAAGAGTCTCAAGTTTTAGCTTCCTTTCCTGCAGATGACACTTTCTCTTCCTCTTGGTATGCAGAAGTCCTGAGTATGGGATGCCCTCAGTGACCTTTGGCAGTGTCCACCCCTCTGATGTGTTGGATATGCCTGTGGATCCCAACGAACCCACCTATTGCCTTTGTCACCAGGTCTCCTATGGAGAAATGATTGGCTGTGACAACCCTGACGTGAGAACCATTTTAACTGAGGATGGCCGGTCCTGGGGGCATGAAGTAGAAATGAGATGCAGGCAGAGGGGAATGGTTGAATAGTGGGACTTCAGAATAGGAGGAAGGTGACTGGAGTTGTTTGGCCTTGGGGCCTTGAAGAATTCTCCAAAGGGATGGGATAAAAGAATACTCCTAAGGAACCTTGGGTGGGGGTGGGGGTGATTCCTTTTTCTCCTCTGCCCCACCCTGGCCTGACTTCTGCTTCCTCCCTCTTTCCTAGTGCTCCATCGAGTGGTTCCACTTTGCCTGTGTGGGGCTGACAACCAAGCCTCGGGGGAAATGGTGAGAGAGAGCTGCGGTAGGAGCTGGACTGCCCCTACTCTGAATGGCAGAGGGCATTCTCCCTTTCACTCACTTTCTCTCTTCTCTGCTCAATCGCGTTGTTTCTTTTTAGGTTTTGCCCACGCTGCTCCCAAGAACGGAAGAAGAAATAGATAAGGGCCTCGGATTCTAACACAGTTTCTTCCACATCTCCTGACCTGGGCTAGTGCAGAGAGGAAAGCCGGTGCTGGGGCCAGGGGTTCCAGGGAGAAGTGAATGGTGCAGTGTTGTCATCCCTTCTCCTGCCTTGTCTCCACTCCTGGTGCTGAGGCTGCACCCAAATCCCGTAGGGAGGGGTGCTGCAGCCACTAAGGGTAGTGCTCTCATTCGGCCCACCCCCTTCAGAAGGAAGTGGTCTTACCCACTGTCCTTTTGCCTCCATGCTGAGGTTGGTGCTGTATTTCCAAGGGAGGGTCCTCTTCATTCCCCTTGCTTTGTATTTAAGGACTGGGGCAGTAGCATGGGGGCGCTCCCCCAACCCTCCTAATTCCCTCCACCCTGTGGTGGGGCTATGGTGTAATAAACTTTCATTGTTCTATTCCTGCTTTTTCCATGGAGGGGGCTCCCCTTCCTCTGTGCCAAGAGGATTCGTCCTGGCCTTGTGAATGGGAGAGGTCAAGGTGGAACGCAGATAAGCCACGTGTAAAAGAACTTGGGTAGGTGAATAAAAGCTATACCTGTTGGCCTGCTGTGTTTTTATAGAGACACCATTTTAGTACATGCGCTCAGCATTTTTTCCCATCCTTTGGGTTAGATAAGAGGTGGGAGGATGACATGTCAAAAGTAAGACAAGACATGGAACCAGAGGTGCACCAGAATGTCCAACTTCTCAATTTGGGAAGGACAAAGCTGGCTGGTGGGGTTGGTGTGCCTCAGACCAAGGGTTTACAAAACTTTTTGAAGTGTACATCTTTTCTCCATAAAACATCTTCCACTTAATTTCCAATAAATATGTATTTGTGTTTTATACATGTACTATTATAGTAAATATTAGCTAGATTTCTTACTTTAAACGCAAATCAGAAAAACACTTTTCCCCTACACCTGTGGATTGTCTTGCTCATCTCCCACTGGGAAACCACTTCCCTAGACTGAGCCGTGTTTACACCTGAACTCCCCTGCTCTTGTTTCCCCTTTTGGCTCATTTCTTACCTGAAGAATTCCTCTCCGGTTCCTACCTAGGTAGGCCCTGACTTTGTGTTGTATATTCCATGTCTGTCCCCCGTCCCAGATCCTGCCGATACTCACATCTGGGCCTCACCACCTATTGGGCAGTTTGTTTCTCAAAGCCAGTTTCCTCATCTGCAGAATAGGGATAATAATAATATCCAGTATGGGATTCCCTTGGAAAAGAAATAAGGTGATACACATAGAAAAGAACACATAACCTACTCCATCGAAAGTAATCAAAAACTTCCAACAAAACTCGACCGGGTGGCTTCACAGATGAATTTTACCAAGCATTCAAAGAACTAACACCTGTAATTCTCAAACTGCCAGAAAATTCAAGAGGAGGCAGGACTCCCCAGCTTGTTTTATGAGGCCAGCATTATCCTAATTCCTAAACCAGATAAAGACACTACAAAGTAAGAAAATCATAGGCCAATATCCCTGATGAACATAGATGCAAAAATTCTCAACAAAATATTAGCAAACCGGATCCAGCAATACATTAATACACCCTGATCAAGTGGGATTTGTTTTGGGGACTCAAAGTTGGTACAATATCTGCAAGTTAATTAACATGATACATCACAAAATGAAGGGTAATGATCACGTGATCATGTTAAAAGATGCAGAAAAAGCATTTGATACTCCAGCATCTATTTATGATTAAAACTCAGAATATGAAAAACCCATAGCCAACATAATACTCAATGGGCAAAAGCTAAATGAGTTTCCCTTAAGATCAGGAACAAGATGAAGATGTCTGCTTTCACCACCCTTATCCAACATAATACTGGCAGTCCTAGCCACAGCAATCACAAGAAATAAAAGGCATCCAAATTGGAAAGTGAGTAAAAGTACTTGCAAATGACATGAGTCTATATATAGAGAACCCAAAAGATCCCACCAAAACTACTAGAACTGATAAATGAATTCAGTAAAGTAGCAGGATACAACATAAATATCCAGAAATGGGTTGCATTTTTATACATGAATAATGAACTATTAGGGAAACTAAGAAAACAATCCCATTTACAGTTGCACCAATATATCTATATATATATATCTGGGAGTAAATTTAACCGAAGATGTATAAGACCTATACTTGAAAATTATAAGACACTGAAGAAAGAAATTGAAGAAGATACAGCGGAAGCATATACTGTGTTCATGGGTAGGAGGAATTAACATTAAAATGACCATACTACTGAAAGTAATCTATAAATTCAATGCAATTTCTATCAAGATACCAGTGATATTTTACAGAACTAGAATAAATATTCCAGCCCTGGCTGGCGTGGCTGAGTGGATTGAGTGCCAGACTGCAAACCAAAGGGTCACTGGTTCAATTCCCAGTTAAGGTACATGCCTGGGTTTGGGGCCAGGTCCCCAGTAGGGGGTACATGAGAGGCAATGGCACGTTGATGTTTCTTTCCCTCTCTGTCTCCCTCTCTTTTTCTAAAAATAAATAAGTAAAATTTTTTAAAAATATATTCCAAAAATTTATATGGAGCGAAAAAAAGACCCTGAATAGCAACAGATATCAAACTATACTACAAGGCCATAACAATCATAGTACTGGCATAAAAACAGACATATAGATCTACAGAAAATAGAGAACCCAGAAAAAAACTCATGCTTTTATGGTCAATTAATATTTGACAAAGGAGGCAAGAACATACAATGGGGTAAAGACAGTCTATTCAGTAAATGGTGTTGGGAAAATTGAACAGATACATGCAAAAAAAAGAAACTAGACTGACCACCTTACACCATGCAGAAGAATAAACTCAAAATGTATTAAAGACTTAAATGTAACACTCAAAACCATACAAATCCTAGGAGAAAACATAGCCAGTAAAATCTCAGACATTTCATGTAGCAAATTTTTTTTCTGATATACCTCTTCAGGCAAGGGAAACAAAAGAAAAAATAAACAAATGGGACTACATCAAACTAAAAACTTTTTTGTACAGAAAAAGAAACCATTAACAAAATGAAAAGACAACTCACTGAATGGGACAACATATTTGTCAATGATACATTTGATAAGGGGTTAATATCCAAAATTTATAAAGGACTTATACAACTTAACACCCCAAAATACCCCAATCCAATTAAAAAATGGGCAAAGGACTTGAATAGACATTTCTCCAAAAAAGGACATACAGATGGCCAATAAACATGAAAAGATACTCAATGTCACTAATCATCAGAGAAATGAAAATTAAAACCACGTGAGATATCACCTCATACCTGTCAGAATGGCTGTCTTCAATAAATTCACAAACGACAAGTATTTATGGAGAAAAAGGAACCCCCGCACACTGTTGGTGGGAATGCAAATTGCTGCAACCACTGTGGAAAGCAGTATGGACTTTCCTCAAAAAATTAAAAAATGGAATTGCCTTATGACCCAGCAATTCCACTTCTTGGAATATATCTGGAAAAACCCAAAACACTAATTTGACAGAATATATGCACTCCTATGTTCATTGCAGCATTATCTGCAATGGCCAAGATTTGGAAGCAGCCCAAGTGCCCATCAGTAGATGAGTGGATAGAAATGCTTTGGTACATTTAAACAGTGGAATACTACAGGGCTAAAAAAAAAAAAAAAAGAAGAAGAAGAGGAAGAAGGAAATATTACCTTCTGAAACAGCATGGATGGGCCTGGAGAGTGTTATGCTAAGTGAAATAAGCCTGTCAGAGAAAGACAAGTACGATATGATTTCACTTATTTGTGGAATCGAACGAACAAAACAAACAAAATAGAGACAGACTCATAGAACAGAGGACACACTGACAGCTGTCAGAAGGGAGGAGGAGGGTGAAAACCGTGAAGGGATTAAGAAAAAACTCGTAGACAACAGTATGTGATCCCAACAGGGAAAGTTGGGTGGGGGCCTAGAAGAGGAAAAAGGGTGGATAAACGGGGGTGGAAAGGTGAACCCACAGTACAATATACAGATGATATATAATTGTACACATGAAGCCCATGTAATTTTATTAACCAGTGTCAACCCAATAAATTCAATAAAATTTTTTAAAAAGATATTTGAGCCCTGGCTGGCATAGCTCAGTGGATTGAGCTTAGGCTGCGATCCAGTCTCGCAGGTTCGATTCCCAGTCAGGGCACATGCCTGGATTGCAGGCCATGACCCCCAGCAACCGCACATTGATGTTTCTCTCTCTCTCTCTCTCTTTCTCCCTCCCTTCCCTCTCTAAAAATAAATAAATAAAATCTTTAAAAAAAAGATTTTTGAGGAAATATATAAAACCTCGTTTCCCCCAAGACCAAGATAAGCACACTCTCTCTAAGACGTGAGGACTCAGCAGCCTGTCCCGCCTCATTCCTTCATCCCGCTGCCGTTCACTGAAGGCCGGCCCCGTGTCAGCACAGTAAGACCCGCCATCCCCGCCATCCCCAAATCCCACGGCCCCGGAAGGAAAGACAGACGTGTAAACAAATAATTGCAATAATACATTGGTAGTACTGCAATAAAAGTGAAAATAAAATCTATAGGAACATGAAGGAGAACGTGATCCCTTATTAGTTGTTCCTGGAGACGTTTATGTTCATTCCTTTGGACACAGGGGTCTCTTTTATTCACGGATATTTTAGGTTTCTCTGATATCTGAAAGAATATGCCGAGCATCCCTTACTAGTAGATATTTGGTAAATACTTGGTTTTTGTGCTGGGAAAGAAAAAAAGAAAGAAAGAAAAGAACAGCGTCAATGATACCACCATCAAGCTGGACTGGGCCACGCGAGGGCCCGCGCGGCAGCTGCTGCGCCCCGCGCCGGCCCTCTGTGACGTGGGCCGCCCCTTCTGGTCCTCGGAGGTCGGCCGCACCCGCCGGCTCTCTCTGCCTCGGCCCGTTGGAAGCCGCTTTGGTCCGGGCAACGCGGGCGGACCGTCTGGGGCCATGAGGAAGCTCGCTGCTGGCTTCCTTCTCTCACTCCTGAAGGGTGAGAGATGCCCACCTGCTGGGTGTCCCCGCCGCCCCCACCCCACCCCACCCCACCCCACCCCCACCCCCACCCCCACCCCCACCCCGGCCGGGCCCTCTGCCTCCCGAAGCCGCCCTACCGTTTCGGAAACGTTTCTGGGGGAGGCCGCGTGGGGCCGCCGGATCCCTGGCTCCGGACTTGAACTCCTGCCGGGCCTCCTCCAGGCCCGCCTGTGTCTCTGCCCCTGGCGTCCCCACCGGCCAGACACCCGCGTGCCTGGTCCACACGAGGCCCCGCTGGCCAGTCTGGGTCGGTCCCGGGCCCAGGGGAGAGCCGGTTTTGGAGCTCTGGCCCTCCGTCTGTCTGTCCCCCGCCCCGCAGTGCTGCTCCTGCCTTCGTCAGCTGCCCCAGCCCAGGACTCAGTTTTGGCCTCCACTCCCGGCAGCCCTCTCTCCACCACCGAATATGAGCACTTCTTCGCACTACTGACCCCTACCTGGAAGGCAGAGACCACCTGCCGTCTCCGTGCAACCCACGGCTGCCGGAACCCCACC